TGGCTCAACATTGGGGGGGAGGTCCTTGTACCTTCAGGAAAAATCAGTTGTGTGTGGTTCAGCTTTCTGAGCCTGTGAAAATATATCCAAGATATACAATCCAAAAATAGGATACATGTAAAAAATACTTATTTTTATTTATTGTGTGTGTGGGAGTAAGTTCTCCTTCCACCATGTGAGTTGTGACGGTCAAGCACCTTTACCCACTGACCTGTCTTGATAACCCAAAAGATCGATTTGACTCCAAGTTTTATTGTTGGTGGTTTTTTTTTTGGGGGGGGGGGGAGGGGGTTGCTGGCCTCCATGTTTTCCTTAGTCACCATATGGACCAGGCTGGCCTCAAATTCAGAGAAGAAGAGACCAGAGTTCTTTAATGTCCTTCAACGACAGTCACCTAACGTCCTCCCAAGAGGCCTGACCTCTCGCTGGCTCCATTTCCTCCCGGTGGAGCATCCTGGAGAAACAGCTCTCCTTCTTTTTGGATTTTGGCTTTCTGAGACAAAAATTCCAAATGTTTGAGGCACAGGATGGCCTCAGATAATAGCAGTCCTCTGGCGTCAGCTTTCTGAGTGCTGGTGTCAGCAGAGTGTGCCCTCACACCCAGATAGATGCTTTGTGCATAGGCCTTTGGGGTATGTTTCAGACCAAACCAAAATAGTGCATGCACTTCCTCACAGTGCGTTTGTGCCAGGGTCATACAGGAAGCAATGGGGTCAAGGATTCAGATACCTCTGGTTGGCTGAGGCTTGCCTAGAATTCCCCAGGGAGGGGCTGGGGGCGTGGCTCGGGGTGGAGCCCCTGCCTAGCATATAGAAGACAGAGGTTCGATCCACAGCTCCCCCCAACCCCAGACACATCTTAAAATAGAAGTGTAACGTAAATTCATAATATTAATAAAGCTATGAGGTAGAGACGAAAGGTCACCCTCCTCTTGGGAAAAGTTTGTTCTGTTTTCAAAATGTTGCTTTCAAACATGGCCTGTGTTCCATGATGTGATATGGACACATTCATATATGAGAGTGTAAGATGTGGACAGAAATTCTCCACCCTCAAAGCATAGGCTGTTAACATCCAGAAAGGGAATTTCTTCTTTTTATCTACTGTAGTCAGGCATTCCTGAAACTCACTGTGTAGTCTAGGATGGCCTCAAACTCAATCTTCCTGCCTCAGCCTCTTGAGTGGCTGGGTGTTGTGACCTTTAGTCCCAGCACTCTGGAGATAGAGGGGGGAAATCTCTGACTGGTCTACGTGGTGAGTTCCATGACAGCCAGGGCTACATAGATTCTGTCTCAAAACAAACAAAACCCAGACAAATAGAAAATTTATCTTAAAAAAATGTGAACATGGTGGTTAAATCTCGCTGTTGACCTGACTGGCTGTGGGTTGCCTAGGAGACGCTCTTCTGTGTGTCTCTGAGGCCTGTTTCCAGGGGCCTGGCTTGAATACAGAGACTGAGAAACAAAGCTGTGCATTTGTTCTCCTGTCTACTCATCTGCTCAAATGTGAGCCACTGCCCTGATCAGGAGCTAAAATAGACCCTTTCTGCTGGATGGCGGTGGTGGCGGAGGACTCATGAGAAATAAACTTCATCTGTCTGGGGAAGCGGAAACTTGAAAGATTCGTGAGCCCATCCAGCCCCAGACCACTGCTGCCAGGGAAGCTGCAGTAAGGTTTTCAGGCTGGCCTGGTGCCTGTTGGAGTCATTAGCATCAGTGTTCTCAAGAGGCCTCGCTTCCACACTGGGTCCACAGGGCCAGGGGTCTGGGAGAAAGATGCTGCTTACAACAGTGTGGATTCACTCAGAAGGAGCAGCACAGGCTTCCCTGCTCCAAATGGGCACCCAGGACAGTGCTTTTCCAGGGTCAGCTTCAGGAGCACAGGCGGCTGCCACTGTGATCATCCTTCGAAGCATCCACATGTTACCATAAAGTGCAAGGTGAACCTTGGTGGATTCCACGGCAGGGCAGGGGAGGCAAAGAAACCTAGTCAGAGGGACAAACATGCCAGGCAGACAGAGTTTAAGTGAGAAGTTTTATTAGAAAGGGAACGGTGGAAAAGGAAAGAGAAAAGAGACAAAGAGACAGAGAGAGGACAGAAGAGAAGAGGGAGACAGGAAAAGTCCTGTCTGCCCCAGGGGAACAGCGGGGAGGGGATGAGAGAGCGCAAGTGGGATGGGGGGGTCTGCCTTTTAAAGGGGTCCTTTGCACCTGCGTGCAGACTGGTACTCTTGGAACCCTGGGCTGACCAGGGTACTGCCTGAGTGCATTCTGCCAGGTGACAGGGCAGGCCAGCATAATGCCTGAATCCTTACACACATAATACGGGTTTTATGGACATTTGACTGGTTTTATGGGATCCAAGACTGGACTGGCTGTGGGGGTTCAGAAAGCCAGGCAATATATAGGACAGGCCAGATTCCTAGAAGAAGGTCATGGAGGGGCCATGATGGGAAGCTGTAGAGGTGAAACCTATATTGCAATGGAACCCTGGGAGTTCAATTTTTATTGATGTGCCTGCTACAGTGTTAGTGTGGAGGTCAGAGGAGAACCTGTGGGACAAAGTTCTCTCCTTTCACCATTAAGTCCCAGGGCAGCAAATGACTTCATCCACTGAGCCATCTTGCTGGCTCCAGACCCCAGGATTTTGAAGATGCCAAGACCATAGTTTGTTTGTCAAAGGAAGATGTAGCCAAGGAGAGGAACTGGCCCAAGAGAGAGGCTGTGTGTGTAGCAGGTGGGCTGTTGGTGTCCACATGGTGCTGCCAAGAGCTCTAGCTACTGAACATGGCACTTCAGGTTGTTTGTTTGTTTGTTCGTTTTCCGGACAGGGTTTCTCTGATTGTTTTGGAGGTTGTCCTGGAACTCTCTCTGTAGACCAGGCTGGCCTTGAACTCACAGAGATCCGCCTGCCTCTGCCTCCGGAGTGCTGGGATTAAAGGTGTGCCCAACCACCGCCCAGCCCTTCAGGTATTTTTCCAGCAGGTTTCTGTCTTGCTTTGGTCTGCCTTGCAATGTCCCTATTCTTTCCTTCTGGAATGAATGTTTAGCCTGTGCCTTTGGATAACCAAAGGTTGGCTGTTCTTACTATGTAGTCCTGGCTAGCCTTGGACTCACTATGTAAACCAGGCTGGCCTCGTATATATTTGAAAGTATGTAACTTCCTTAGTATTATTTTACTGAGGTTCACAGTTAAGGGGATGCCTCAGTACAGGCTTCTGAACAGTACTTAGATTTCTAAACAATGTTAGAATTGTTTAGACTTTGAGGGGCTGGCAAGAGGGCTCAGTGTGTAGAGGTGCACCAGATCACCTGAGTTTGATATCAGACATCCATGTGGTAGGAAAAGAAAACCAAGTCTTACAAATTGTCCTGAGATCCACATGATTTTTTTTGTTTTTGTTTTTGTTTTTAAAGGTTTATTTATTCATTACATATACAGTGTTCTGTCTGTCTATAGGCCTGCAGGCCAGAAGAGGGCACCAGATTTCACTACAGATGGTTGTGAGCCACCATGTGGTTGCTGGGAATTGAACTCAGGACCTCTGGAAGAGCAGCCAGTGCTCTTAACCTCTGGGCCATCTCTCCAGCCCGAAATCCACATGTTACATCCAAAGTCTGGAACCCAAATCACCACCACGAGACTGACTCAAAGTCTTATTATGAGTTAACTCAGGTCCCTCCATCCATCTGAAGCAGTAGCAGCAGCGATGACAGAAGCCACAGGAGCAGAGCAAGAGAGACCCCAGTGTTGAGTGAAGCACAGGAGCAGAGCAGAGAGACCCCGGTGTAGAGTGAAGGGGATTTTTATAGAAGAAAAGGCTTGGGTTTGGCTGCCCCTCTGGGATAAGGTCACAAAAAGGTCAAGGTATGTCTCAAGGATAGGGGTCATTGCTTCCCTAGGCTTAAAGTCTATGGGGAGTCTGCCTCTAGACTAGAGGTTACTACTGCCCTATTTCCCTGACCGGAAAGGTCACACCCCTAGGCTAGAGGTTGCTACTTTACTACTCGGGGATTGGTTGTTTTTCCCTGCTCAGGGATTGCCTGGTTTTATGTCCCGGGCATAGGTGGCTCCGATTTCAGGGCCAAACTGTTTCTTTCTATGGTTCTTTTTAGCTTTAGGCTCCAATTTTAGGACCAGAGTGAATTTCTTTTACAGGTTCTGATTCTAGGGGCAAAGTGTGTTCTTTTGGCTCTGGTTTTGGAGTTTGGGTGTTTTTCCCTGGTTCTGGGCTTAGAGCCCAGCTGTTCAGGGATTATACAGGGTCTGTGGATCAAGGATTTGCTGGGACCTGGGCCTCTCACACATGTGTATCATGGCAGTGTGACTTCCCTTCCCCCCAAAAAAACCAAATGCAATTGTTCTGAGCATATTCCGAGATAGATCAAATGCACCCTGCATTATGAGATGGCCAGGGGCCCTAGGGACTGGGCAGGCTGGTGCGACCTGCTCAGTTGGTAAGGGGGAGTAGCCATGGGTCATCTTCATTGTTGATTTGACTGCGTAAGTCTGGAGGGCATTTCCAGAGAGCTTCAGCTGAGGAGGGAAGACCTGCCCTGAACAGGGGTGGCGCCATGCCATAGACCAGAGCTCTAGAATGAACTTTAAACAACAATGAATGACCTGCCCCAACATGAGCCAAAAGCCCCTCCTTCTGCCATGATGGGCAGGAACTGCAAACCCTGAGCCCAGAGAAACCCTTCCTCGCCTTAAATTGCTGCATCCCATGCTGTCCACAGCAACTAAATAACGCAGGAAAAGCAGCAGGGCTTAGGGAGTAAAGTCATCTGTGCATGGTTTCCATCCACAGTAATGCACGGGAACCAGGGGTCACGGTCCATCTACACCCCCACTGAGGGAGCCCAGGGTGATAATCCCTTCGCATGTGCACGAACACATACACACACACACACACACACACACACACACACACACACACTGTGAGCCAGGGGTCACACTCCGACGTTTACACAGCAGTAGAAACCTTTAACAGCAGACTGTCACAATGAACACAGGAATTTTATTTTGTTTTGTTTTTGAGACAGGGTCTTGCTCTATAGACCAGGCTGGCCTCAAACTCACAGAGATCCTCTTGCCTCTGCCTCCCAAGTGCTGGGATTAAATGCCTGTGTGACCATGCCCCAGACACTGGAATTTTAAGCCAGAAGCCATACATTAAAACTTTCCCTGTCATGAGGAACTCATCTTTTCCGTATTCGTTAAACCTGATTCATGCAAACACCTTTAATCCCAGCACTCAGGAGGCAGAGGCAGGTGGATCTCTGTGAGTTGCAGGCCAGCCTGTCTACAGAGTTACAGAAAAACTGGTCTCAAAAGACAAACAAAAAAAAAAAAGGAAGGAAGGAAGAAAGAGAAGAAGAAGAAGAAGAAGAAGAAGAAGAAGAAGAAGAAGAAGAAGAAGAAGAAGAAGAAGAAGAGTAATCTTTTGCCCATCAAGGGCTTTCTCCTCAAGCCAAGGGTCCTTCAGTCAAATGGAGACGGTGGGAGAATTCCTAGCAAGTGGACGGTAAAAGAAAGGCACACTCAATAATGGAATATTATTCAGCCATAGAGAAGAACAGGAGAGATAGTCATTTGTAACAAAATAGGCAGAACTGAAGGATATGTTCAAGGAAGTGGGACTTAGAACGATGTGCCACATTCCCTTGTTCATACACGGAATTAAAAGGACGTGGGGCTGTGAGGACCAGCTTGGGACAGAGGTGAAGGTAGACAGAGAGGCTCTTTGATGAGTGTGCTGCATTAATGTTGAAATATCTCTCAGGTCCCCATTAATATGTGCAGTTAATACAGGTTAATAAAAACACTTTAAAAATCTAAAGTTATTGCTCAATGCACCTGAGCATATATTTTTAAGCTACAACTTAAAATACATCTTTAAATTTATTATTATTATTGTGTATATGTGTGCATGATGGGGGTGGTTGTGATGGTGAATGTGTGGAGTGAGCGAGCAACTCTGTGAGGTCGGATCTCTTCTTCCACCCTGTGGGCCTCAGAGACTGAACTCAGGCCATCAGGGCTGAGTACCAAGTGCCATATACATCATGTCAGCTCATTGGCCCATAGTATTTTAAAGATTAATCTTATTTGAAATTGTGTGTGTGTGTGTTTGTGTGTGTGGGTATAGGTATCTGCAAAGGCCTAAGGCATTTGATTCCTCTGGGGCTGTTTGTGAGCCACTTGGTGAGTGTACTAAGAATCAAACCTGGGTCCTCTGCAAGAGCAGCATGAAGCTTAACTGCTGAGCCGTTTCTCCAGACCTTTATTTATTTATTTGTTTCTTTAAAATGAAATTTGACACTAACAGTTTCGGAATTGCCAAAGCATGCATTTTGGAACCTTCATCTGGGAAATAACCGAATGAAATATCTTCAAAGGCCTCATTTCATAGCTGGAAGTGTGGCTTAGCAGCAGAGCTCCAGCCTGGAATCACCCAGGGAGGGGCTGGGGCGTGGCTTTTAGTAGAGCACTTGCCTAGCAAGTCCTGGGCTCCATCTCCAACACCAGGAAGAGAAGCAAGCTCTCTTTCTGCTGCTGCTGTTACTGAGTCTAGAGTCACATGGCGTAAGGACAGCTCTCCCATCTAAGGGCTGCCTGCAGCAGGGCTTCACGCACAAGCCAGGCTCCGTAGACTGCTGTGGACACGGTGGAGAGAGCATTTCAAGGCAGAGGGTCAGGCAGCAAAGCAGGGATGCTCGTGTGTCCTGCTGAGCATGGTCATGACTGTGGTCCAACAAGAAGTAGAGGTGGGAAGATCTAACAGCACCATTAGCTACACATGGAGTGTGAAGCCAATTTGGGCATCATAAGACTCTGGTGTGTGTGTGTGTGTGTGTGTGTGTGTGTGTGTGTGTGTGTGTGTGCACACGCACGCACTCGCGTGTGCGTATATATTTGTGGAGGCTTGAGGTTGAGTTAGGAATTGAGTTAGGAATCATCCTTGATTCTTCTCCCACCTTATTCATTGAGGCAGTGTGTCTTAATCAAACCCAGAGCTGGCAGATGTGTCTAGCTTAGCCAGGATCCTCTGTGACCTAGTTAGCTTTAACTGTCAACTTCACCCAATCTAGAGTTACCTGATAAGCAGACTGCCCTGGTCAGGGTGGACCATGGGCTTGTCCACGGGGGACTGTCTTGACTGTTAATGGATGTAGGAGGGAACCCATTGTGGGTGGCACCATTCCTTGGGCAGGTAGTTCTGGGGCTGTATGAGAAGGCTGGCTAATGATGTGGAGAAGACAAGAAGCAGTACCCTCCCTGGTCCCTGCTTGTGGTGGGCTGAATGAGAATGGCTTTGGTAGGCACATTATATAAGAATGCTTGGCCACTAGGGAGCAGAAATGTTTGAAAGGATTACAAGGGGTAGGCGTGGCCTTGTTGGAGGAGGTGTATCATGGGGTAGGCTTTGAGGCTTCAAAAGTCCATGCAAGGCCCAGGCTCTCTCTGTCCCTGTCTGTCTCTCTGTCTGCAGATCATGATCTATATCTCAGCTATTTCTCCAGCACTATGACTGCCATGCTTGCCACCATACTCCCGCCATGATGACAATGGACTGACCTCTGAAACTGTAAGCCACCCCAATTAGGTGCTTCTTTTTAAATGAGTTGCCTCTGGGTAGCAATACAACAGTGACTAGACTACACTGCTGCACTGTCATGGCCGAGTGGTCGGAGGTCATGCTGTGTGCAGTAAGCCCAGCCCTGCCTTCAGTCCCTGCCTGAGTTCTTTCCCTGGCTTCCCTCAGTGGTGGACTGTAACCTGGAAGTGGAAGCCAAAGGAATTCCCCCCCCCCCTTAAGTTGCTTTTGCTCAGACTGTTTTTGCCACAGCAGCAGAATGAAGCAAGAACAGCTATCTCCACATTCTTGGGCTGGGCCTGCAGGTGGACAACAATGTATGCCTGGCAAGTCCATGGTTCTAAGGTCTAAACTTCAGTCCTCACACCAGGTCTGCAGGTGCTGTAGGCCTGAGCCAGCCCCAGCCTTGTGTGGATTTCTTTCCTTTTCTTTTATTTTTTTCCTTCTTTTTGATAGGGTCTCTCTCCTGGCTGTCTTGGAACTCACTCTGTAGACCAGGCTGGCCCTGAACTCATTGGCATCCACCTTCCTCCAGCTCCTGAGTATTGGGATTGAAGGCTAAGCCACCAAGCAGCCAGAGTGGATTTTATACACATCATTTTCAGTCTCAGGCAAACTGTGATCCTGTGTGTGTGCCAATCACCAGACTTGAAAGGGCTAGAGTGTGTGTCATGTGACAGTCCAGACTTCTGCCTTCCCATGTGAAAAAGGAAAGACCTGTAACGCAGTCTGACTTTGCCACGAAGATTCTGGGCTGCAGCTGGGAAGCTCACTGCCATCCAAGACAGGACAGTGCCCACCACACCTCTGTAATCCGTCACTCTCTGCCCTACAGTATTGCCCTCGACTGGGTCACTCTTGGTCCCCACAGTAATTGCAGATCCTCCCAGAGCCATTGGCTCAAGGATGAGAGTTGTGCCCACTGGGACCAACAGAGGCAGAGTCAAGGTTTTGATCCAAGTTCTTGGAGTCGGGTGGGAGATGCAGGTTGCTGCTGACCTGAGGGAAGTAGGTCTGAAAACCTACAGAAAAAGAGGTGGGAAAATGGAAGATGCTAGAGGGAGGCCTGGGGTCCACACAGCATTGGCAGAGCAACCAGAAGAGTCAAAGCTATCCCACTGCATTCTGGGTCTCCACAGGCCTTCACAGTATCAGGCACACCTGTGAGTGCTTGTTTGATTTCGATTCTTTCCCCTCTGCAGCCACGGATCCCGTGTCCTGGGAGGCCTCTGCCACAGCCAGCTGCTCTTCCCTCTGCCTGGTCTTCACCAGCCATACTGCCTTCTTGAAGTTCTTGAGAGGGTCTTGCTGGGAGGCTCTGGCTGATGGGCACTGAAAGCGCTCTCGGATGAGATAGCCGTGACTTGTGGGGGCCATGAAGCCATTGGAAGTGGGGATAATTCGGTTGACCACAGCATGGACAAACTGGACAGCTAGCAGGGTGCCTGTGATGGAGAAAGGGATGGTCATGAGAAAACTTGGGCACATAGGTGGGAAGGACATTGCAGTTGGTAGTGTGCTTGGTCTGCAGACACAAAGACATGAGTTTGATCCCTAGCACACTTAGAAAAACTGAGTGTGATGGTGCACACTGGCAATCCCAGTGCTGTGGAGGCAGAGTCGGGGATTCCTTGGGGCACTCTGTCCAGCTGGCCTGGCCTAATCATCGACCCCAAGTCCATCATCTCCAGTGCATGATCGACACCCAAGTAAAGGGGTGCACATCCACTGGGCACTTCCCACCCTTGTGGAAGCCTGGGGAAGAAGCCTGTGTTGTCTCCAAAGGGCAGAGGGCCTAGCAGGGACATCATGGGTCCTGAAGATGCTTCCTAAGCTGAGGGACCCAGCTAGGGGCTAAAACAGGGCTGCTAAGACCCAAGGTGACTTTTCTCTCCAGGTCAGAGCCCAGCCCTAGGGGTTGGCTCAGCAGGCGTGCTCTTCAGTTTTTTGTCAACTTGGCACCAGCTCCAATCATCTGGGAAAAGAAACCTCAACTGAGAAAATGCCCACATCTCACAGGTCCATGTGACATTTCTTGATTAATGACTGGTGTGGGAGGGCACAGCTCACTATGGGCGGTGTCACCCTGGAGCAGGTGGTCCTGGCTGTATAGGAACGCAGGTTGAGGGCTGCAGAGATGGCTCAGAGGTTAAGAGCACTGACTGCTCTTCTAGTGGTCCTGAGTTTGATTCCCAGCAAACACATGGTGACTCACAACCATCCGTTATGAGATCTGGTGCCTTCTTCTGGCCTGGAGGCACAATGTCATATACAAAAATAAACAACTATAAACAAAAGAAAGAAAGACAGAGAGAGAGAGAGAGAGAGAGAGAGAGAGAGAGAGAGAGAGAGAGAGCACAGGTTGAGCAAGCCGTGAGAGCAAGCCAGTAACTGGCACCCTCCTTGGCCTCTGCTTCAGCTCCTGCCTCCAGGTCCCTGCTCTGACTTCCCTGAGTGATAGACTACATCCTTTAAGCCAAATGAACCTTTTCTTCCCCAAGCTGCTTTTGGTCAGGACATTTCATACAGCAACAGAAAAGCAAACTAGGACTGTAGGTGAAGAACATGCCACATAAGCACAATGACCTGAGTTTGAATCCCTGGCACCTATGCAAAAGCCAGGTGCACAAGCATGTACCTGTAATCCTAGCATGGTGGGGACAGTCAGGGGTGGGCCCCTGGGGGTCAACCTCAGCCTTTACCCTTCACATGTGAGGGCACACATGTCCAGGTGCACTCCTATGCACACGTGCACACGCACGCGCGCTCTCTCTCACACACACACACACAGAGGCAATAAAATAAAATAGGGTTTTTCATAGCCGAGTCCCATCCTAGAAAATGACTCACCATCCAGCGCACTCCAGGCGATGATGGAGCGGTCCTTCATGCCTGCAAACACGTACTTGTCATCCTTCGAGAAGCAGGCACACCGCACCCCTCTGCAGTAGGAGCTCTGTGAAGACAGACCATATGAGGTGCTCTGCATGAGAAGTGTTGGTGCTCACATGGTGTCTGTTGTTGTTTACGTGTATTTAATTTGTTTGCTGGGGGTGGAGAACTGTGTGTCACGGTGCTGTGTGCAGGGCAGAGGATAACTTGCAGTAGTCGGTTCTTGACTTTCACTATGTTAGTGGGCACAGAACTTAGGTCATCAAGCTTGGCTGTAAGCACCTTTATCGGTTGAACCCCCTCACCTGCCTGGGATCATGTGTTTTAACCCTTGCTCCACAGCTGGTGTTTGGAAAGTTGTAGAACCTTTATCAAGTTTGTCCTCCTTGGAGGACATGGGTCACTCTGATTCCAGTTTCGGGGCTTTGTAGTCCAGCCCACATCCTGTTCCACCACAATGTGAGGAGCCAAGTCCCAGCTGCACACTCCTGCCACCACAGAGCTGTCTGGCACCATGCCTTCCCTCCACCTTAGGCTGTGTCCCTACAACTGGGAGCCCAAATGACCACCTCCTCCCCTCATCCCCCCTGCTTCGTTTGCTTCTGCTCAGGGACTTGGTAACAAAATAACTAATATACCACACCATACCATTTTCAACTAAGAGACATCCAGACAAGCCCTCATCTGGTCAGCATCCCAATCCCGGCTCTCCACTCGGGGCAGACCAGAGCAAACCCCAGAGAGATGGAGAAATGGACTTTCCAAGGAGCAAGACCTGTTTTCACAAAGGTGACAGCTTCAGGGATATTGCACTGAAGCACAGGAGCAATGCACCTGTGGGTGTGTGCAGGTGACAGCTATTGCACTGGAGCACAGGGGCAATGCACCTGTGGTGTGTGTGCAGGTGACAGCTTCAGGGCTATTGCACTGGAGCACAGGGGCAATGCACCTGTGGGGGTGTGTACACATCTGGACGCTGGGGGACAGCCTCATTAAGGATTGCCTTCTTCCTCATTTGAGTCAGCTGCTGGGCAAGTATGAGGACCTGTGATTGGTCCCCTGTTCCTGTTAAAAAGCAGGCATAGTGGCTCACACTTACATTCTCAGCTTTGGGGAGTTGTAGATAGGAGTACCCTACCCACCTCAGACTAATGGGAGGGCCCCAAGCCCCTGCCCCTAAAGCAAGGTGAGGAATGACACCCAAGGTTGACTTGTATCCATCACACACATTGCAAGGATATACACTCACAGCTAGAAACAGTGCCAACATGCACACAAAAAGAAAGGAGCACAGCAGGGAAGAGGGAGAATGGGCACAGCATGGACGTCCATGGCCCAGGCCACCCACCTCATAGCTCATCTCGAACATCCCCCTGCAAGCTTGCAGGTCCCAGAGGCAGAGCAGTGCGTCCTCGGCCCCGCTCACAGCCAGCTGCTCCCCGTGGCTGACCTCCGCGCAGCTCACCCTGCTCCCATGGGCCTCCAGAGGAAACACTTTGGACCGTGCACAGTCGTACAGAAAGAGGCCACCGTCACTCATGCCATAGAGCACTCGGTAGTCACCCAGCACGGCCACACTGGCTATGGTCTCAGGCAGCTGGGTGTAAAAGGTGTAGGTGGGGCCCTCGATGGCAGGACAAGGGTCCCCAGGGCTGATGTCCAATACTAGGACAATGTTGTCATAGGCAATGGCCAGCCGGTCCTCGCTCTTGCTCAGGGACATACAGTTGACAGCCTTGCGGGCCTCGGGCGGGGGGATGCACAGCACATCTTGCCTGGAATTCAGGGGGAACACAAGCACAATCCCCGATACCAGGCCTGTGAAGAGGAGCTTGGCCTGCTCGGCCACCTCCAGACACCGGACCTCATTGGATGTGTCCAGGGAATCCTGCTCCTCACCTGCACAGGGAGAAGAGAGTCAGGGATGGATCATCTGGTTTCCTCAGTTTTTAAAAAAACGGCAATTATTTGTGTGCAGGGAGGGTGGGGGGGGAGGGTCAGAGGACAAGTTCAGCCTCCCACCGTGTGGGTCCCAGGACTTGAACTCACATTTTCAGGTTTGGCAGCAAGTGTTCTTTTTTCCTTTTCTTTTTCTTTTTCTTTTTGTTTTTTGTTTTGTTTTTCAAGACAGGGTTTCTCTGTATAGCTTTGGAGCCTATTCTGGCACTTGCTCTGGAGACCAGGCTAGTCTCGAACTCACAGAGATCCGACTGCCTCTACCTCCCGAGTGCTGGGATTAAAGGTGTGTGCTACCAACACCCGGTGGCAGCAAGTGTTCTTACCTGCTGGATGTTTAACTGGCCTTAGCTTTTTAAGTTTCTGACCCCTAAGGTTCAGCTTGGATAATGTAAAGTTTCCTGACTGAGCCCAAAGCTGGAAATGGACCCTGTACCCATGTGCATGCTCGGGAAGCCCTGAGGCAAACAGAAGCCGGGCATGCTCAGTAGGCACTGGAGGAAAAGACGGGACCCTGAGCTCCCACAGGCTTGAGGAGCTCTGGGAGCAAATGGCAGCTGAAACCAGGGACAGGGCTGTGCTCTGCGGGGGGGGGGGGTGTTAGCGTGGAACCTGGGTTTGTGTGTGCTCCATAAGTCTAAACAGTCAGCCTGGCCCAGGGGGGCCCTGGGAACTAGCACAGGGGCAGCTTTGTCTAGCACCCCCCACCCACCCCGCCACACCCTCGACTGGCTCTGGTTTAAATTTTGAGAAAGGCTGTCGTGAAGCTATTTCTTCCATATTGAAACATTCCCTTCTGATAGAAGAGGGGAGATGCCCCAGGCTGTGAGCTGCCTGCAAGGATGCACAGAGCTCCAGGCCTATAACTTTCATGAGCGGCTGGCTGGGTGCTGTGTGGGAATTGGGGTGCCGCACCCCAGCCCCCCCATTCTCCTGTAACTGCTGTGGACTCCTTAGCTCTCCCAGCACTTCCTTCCCCGATGTGGCTGCTCTGTCTGGGGTGCACAGAAATTGACACCCAGGGGAGTCTGACAACACTAATCACCCAGGCTGATCTCCTCTTCATCCTTCTGCCTCAGCCTCCCGGTAGTTGGGATTACAGCCAGCTCTATGACAAGAATCTAAGCTAATTAAATGAGAGTCGTGTTTAACCCTCCCAGGGAGACCCACAACCCTCGGAACACAGTACAAGCACTGTCCCCACTCTCCTTCACTCCCTGTGCCTTATAGGTTGGATGTCTGAGCCCCCACACCATGCCAAATTCAATGTTGAACGCCATTCGGGGACTGGAGAGACGGTTCAGTAGTGAAGAGCACCAGCTGCTCTTGCAAGGGACCTGGGTTCAGTTCCCAGCCCCACATGGCAGCGGCAGGGGTCTGATGCCCTCTTCTGATCTCACAGGCACCAGGCACACATGATGCATGCACATACATGCAGGCAAAATTCAAACACAGAAAAACACAGAAGAAAGAAATTCCATCTACAAGATGATGATTTTGGGAGGTGCAGTCTTGGGAGTTAGAGTTCTGGGGAGGATCCCTCAGAAAAGGGTTAGTTACTTAAAGGGGAAACAAGAGCAGAGCATTGCCTTGTTGGGCCAATGCTGTACAGACACAGCAGAAAGACATCTGTCAACCAGAAATGAGCAGCCCTCACCAGACCCTGGACCCTCCAGCACCCCTACCCTTGCCATGCGGGTCTGTGTTTCTGTGTGTATGGGTGGTGTGTGTGTGTGTGTGTGTGTGTGTGTAGGACAAGGCTGAAGTTGGCAGTCTCCTCAGTTGCTCTCCACCTATTCACTGAGGCAGGATCTCTCAACAGAACCCACAGCTAGTGAAGTTAGCCAGCTTGCTCTGGGGGCCCTGTCTCTGCGTGTCCGCTGCTGGAATTAGAAGCCAGCGCTTGCATGGAAGTGAGGACCCAAACTTCATTCTGAACGCTTGCACAGCAAGCCCTTTACCTACTGGGTCATCCTCCTACTCCCTTTTAGTTGACTTTTGAGCCAGAGTGTGCGGTTTTATCTTAAACTCCACCCTTTTTTGCCTTCACTACCAACCATGGCCACCATACCTGGTTTATGTAGTGCTGGGGACAAAGCCTAGGGCTTCCCATGTGCCAGAAAAACACTACACAACTAAGCTACAAGCATTCTAGCAACTAAGCTACAAGCACTCTTCCCATGAGCCAATTCCTGGATTCATCTTGGACTTCCACCTCCAGAACGGTAAGTCCAGAACTCACCACAAAGATGCTAATCATCTTTCACAAACCTTCCGCTAGGTCCCAGATTGTGACTTTGTTTTTGTCCCCAACCTTGGGGAAGTAGATGTAGCTGCCATGGTGGGACACGGCTGCAAGGCCCGTGCGGTCCAGAAATGGAGCAGGAGGCCTCGGCTTCGACGTGGACTTGAGATCCCAGACTTTTAAAGACGAAGACTTCCAGGAGGCAGACACCACCAGAGTCCCACCCCGGACCAGCAGGCTTGCAGGGGCACCCACGCCCTCAAGGACGTCCAGCAGGGTCCCCTGTTCTGAGAGACTCCACACCTGAGGATGGAGAACAGAAGGACTGGTCTGCCTCAGGGACATGCTTCAGCATTCACCCACCTCTGCTGAACATGGAGGCTCTGGCTCCAGGGTCCTCACCAACCCTGGCTGCTGAAGACTCCCGGGGGCTTCAGTATCCTCACAGTGTATCCCGGGAACCCCAAGGACACCCTGCAGGGCCCCTCGGGTCTGCAATAGTCAACTATCTTCAGAGCAGACCTAAAGTGCTGGCCCGTCCTCACAGGTAAGCAGCAGAATTCTGCAAGAGCTGAATGAGTGAGATTGTGGTGTGCATGCATGTGCATGTGTGTGTCTATTTCAGGAAACCACCATGTGAGCTGGGGAGATGGCTCAACTGTTATGAGCACCTGATGCTCTTGCAGAGGAGCCTGGTTCAATTCCCGGCACCCACATGGCAGCTCATAGCCGTCTGTGACTCCAGTTCCAGGGAATCCACACTCTACTACCTCCAAGGCCATTGGGCACACTTGGTACAAGATGCTCATACACATAAAATAATAATAACAAGAAGAATGATAAAACTTTTCTGATTAAAAGTTATGTCACTGTGTGAACACGTCATAGTGAATTCACAGATATGTGTTCTTGGATTGCCTCTTCTTTTTCTATTGGAGACAGGATCTCACATTGCCCAGACTAGCCATGAACTTGCCATGTAGCTGAGACAGGCTGGGGTCACCACACCAGCTTCATCTCCTCTCTCAGGTGTGGTTTCCCAGGGGTTCAAGGGTGGGAGGCTCAGTCCCAGAGGGGACAGGTGTGACACAAGAGATGATGGGACTTAAGAGGCGGAGCCTAGTAGGAGGTGAAGGAGTCTTGTGGGACGCAGCCCTTGGAAAGAACCAAGTGGTTGGCTGTGGTTGTGCATACCTGTAAATCCAAGAAGGTGAAGGGTGGGGATCAAACTCCAAGTTTGAGGCTAGCCTGAGCTACATGAGACCCTGTCTCCAAAGATGAGGGGGAGGGGTCAAGCAGTTGTTATGGGACTCACATTAGTTCCCAGGAGAGGGGTCTATTACAGGCAGGCAGGATTGACCTCTGTCCCTAAGTGTGATCGCTCCCTCTCACAGACTCACACCATTTGCACACCGTTGCTACAGACAAGGCAGCCTCATCAGAACTGATGCCATTCTGTGCAGTCAGCCAACTCCTGAAAACTGTGAGCTAGATAACCCCTTTTCTTTATATAGTTCCCAGCCTCAGCTATTTTATTATAGTAACAGAAAACACAGCCCCAACATTGGCATATGTGTATATAACCTATAATAAATAAATATGTTTCTACACAAATGAATTCTGTTAGGTCCTCAAGAATCTCTAAGACTGTAGAGAGGTCATAAGACACAGATATTAGGAAACCCATGGTTCCTACCTTGATAGTCTCACCAGCGCTGACTACTGAGAATTTTCCTGACCACTGTCCTTAGTTTTCAGGTCCAGTTGGGAATGCTGCTTACTTTGGGGAACATTCCAGGTCTGCTAGCAGGGCACAGAATACCAGCACCCCATGTCATTCCACTAACACCCCTGTCTGGGTCTGAGCTCATCTTAGCAGGAGTTAGGGATCCTGTTCTGAGGTTGGGGTCCTTTACCCTCACCTGGATGAGCGCATCCCGGGAGCCAGTGATAATCACATTGTTCTCAGGACCCAAAACCGCTGTCTCCACCACGTCCTCGTGTTCCAGATCTGTGGCCATGAACCGGTGGAAGCCTTGTGAGTCGGCCAAGAAAATTCGCACAGATCTTCCAAAGCCTGCGGCAGCAGAGCCAGGTTAGACCTCTCAGCCTGGAAGAGCCTGAGAGCAGTTACCCAGTCCATGTAGCCTTTGCAGAGCCCCTACTGTGTCCCAGGGGAGGACGTAGGGAGGCAGGGGGCGGGCATGGCCCCAGCTTGAACAGCAGGTGTGTGTTGGAGGTGACAGTCGCAGAGTTGTAGGGAAACTCATGAAATTCTCTATTATCAGGACACACTGAGTTCCTCAGGTCCCAGCGCCATTGACTGGGGACCAGGTGTCATTGGAACAAACACATTTACTTTCCCTACCTTAGAAAGATTGATCTATTCTATTCTATTCTTTTGTGTGTGTGTGTGTGTGTGTGTGTGTGTGAGAGAGAGAGAGAGAGAGAGAGAGAGAGAGACAGACACAGAGAGAGAATGTGTGTGTGTGTGTGTGTAAGAGAGAGTATGTGTGTGTGAGAGAGAGTGTGTGAGAGAGAGCATGTGTGTGTGAGAGAGTGTGTGTGTATGTGAGTGTGTGTGTGTGTGAAAGAAAGCATGTGTGTGAGTGTGTGTGTGTGTGTGTGTGTGTGTGAGAGAGAGAGAGAGAGAGAGAGAGAGAGCAGGGATTCATACATACACCCCCACCCATGCACTTTCAGAGGACAAAGAAGTCATTGGGTCTTTCTCTGTCACTCCCATTTCCTCACTGAGCCTGGAGCCGTCCGGCTGGCCTCCTGTCTCGACTCCCCACAGCACTGGAGTTGCAGGCACACATTCAATTACACCCAGTTTTTACATGCTGGAGACTCGCATTCCTGCTTGCACAGTGAATGCTCTAACCCACTGAACCATCTCCTCAGACCTAGTTCTCCCATCTGCACATAAGGACACTGATAGTGTGGACCTAAGGCTGCCATGGGCAAGCAGAGGCATCAGAGCATGCGTATCAGTGAGAATGGTGCCAACAACTGCAAACGCACACGTTTATACAAACACACACACACACACACACACACAGAGAGAGACACACACACAGACACACACACACACACACACACACACACACACACACACACACACACACACTCATCAATCAATCGATCAATCAGACAATATCATAGGTACAACCAGCCTGAGCCCCACACCTGCACCTTGTGGCGCTGGGCCTGGCCTGCTTCTGGGAACAAGCCCTCTCAGTCCATCGAGCTTCCTCCCTGATAACCATGGTCTTTACTTATCTACGCTGTTTTCAAAGTAACGAAGTGAGCTCCTGGGGAGTTTGGGACAGGAATCTTGGGACAGGCTGGTGGCCATGGTCAGCCTCTTGGGCCATCAACAATGCTAATGTGACCAACTCCTGGGAGTGTCCCTGGCTGAGGACACACCACACACACTGTGCTTCGTGTCACCAGTCTCCTGGACCACTAGGAGAGAAGTGAAAATTCCCACCTTGTGTCTCCTGGACATTGCCATGCTTTCCCTATCCTTTGCAGATTTTGTGTGTATACGCACACACACACAGCACACACACACACACACACACACACACACACACCACACATGTGCTTGTGCGTGTGTGTTATTACATGCACCTATGGCAAGCCAGAGGTTGCTGTCAAATGTGGTCACTAATTGTTCTCCCCATTATTCTTTCAGGTAGGGCTCTCACGGAACCTGGGAGCTTGGCATCTTGGCCAGGAGAGTGAACTGCAGCAGCTGCCTGCATACAGATGTCTGCCATTTTTATGCGTGTGCTGAAAATCTGAATCCAAAACCTTGTGCTTGAGCGTCAAGCACTTTACCCACTGAGCCATCTTATTAGTCCCACCTTTTTTTTTTTTTTTTTTTTTTTTTTTGAGACAGAGTCTCTCACGGTCTGGGGCCCACTGATTGGCTTGGCTGACTGACAGGGAGGCCTTTCCTGTGCTAGGTCACAGGTGTGACCATGACAGACAGCTGCTTCTTTCTCAGGTGTGTGTGGTCTTGGAGACAGTGCCCTGAAATTGTACTCATGAAACAAACAGTTCTTGACAGCAGAAGCTGGGGATGCCATCCAAATCAGGGTCAGACAGGTTCCCACGGCAGGGGTCTGCTTCCTTCAGGCTGAGAATAGAGAAACTACTCGGCACTCTTCTCCCTAGCTCCTGGTACACACTGTCCCTCAAAGCCAGCCAGGCATGCTCTAGTTGTTCCCGATGCTCCAGGCCTCCTGCCTGAGTCCTCACTCACTGGTCACCTCTTTCTGTGACACTCTGACAAGGGTCTGTATCACACTCCATCAATCAGGCCTGTGCTGCCCACAACTGTCAACCTATCTATCCAAAGGCGGCTCTGACTGCTGTCCCTTCCTTCGTATGTGTCCGGTGATTTGCTGTGCAAGTGTCTGTGTGCACTGTCAGTTTGTCTGTGGGTGCTGAGCCCTTAGAGGGCATAAGGAGGCTTCAGAGCCCTTGGAACTGGAGTTACAAAAGACTGTGCACTGCCCTGACCCTGGAGGGCTGGGTCCTCTGTAAGAGTAGCTCATGCTCTTAACTCTTATTTTGAAAATTTGGTACAATAACAGAGAAATGACCCATTCATAATGTTTGTATTGATTTCATGTTAAATATTTGGGAATATTAAATAAAATAACCTGTGTGGTTAATATCGATTGATTTAACTATTATGATAACATTAATTTAAAGTCTCATAATTAATTAAAAGATGTTTATTGGGACTAGAGCGATGGCTCAGTAATTAACAGAACTTGCTGCTCTTGCAGAGGACTTATGTTCAGTTCCCAGAACCCATATGGTGGTTCCTAACCGTCTGTCACTTCAGCTCCAGGAGAGCTATTGCATGTTGCCTAGTTGGTCACCCACACATCTCTCTCTCTCTCTCTCTCTCTCTCTCTCTCTCTCTCACACACACACACCTAAAAATAATAAAAATAAGACTTAAAAACATTTAAAATCTCAAGAGGTGGTTACAGGTGTATATGATGTATAGTGGTACATGTGTGTAAGGTGTATGGTGGTTACATGTATTTATGTAGATATATGGCTACAGGTGTGTATGGTGGGTACAGGTGTTTATACTGTTTCAAGTGTATATGGTAAGTACAGGTCTGTATGTTGTGTGGTGGGCACAGGTGTGTATGTATGGTGAGAATAGGTCTATGTGGTGTATGGTGGGTACTGGTGTATATGGTGTGTGGTGGGCACAGGTGTGTATAGTGGACACAGTGTATGGCGGGTGATGGAATGTCTTTCTATTCCATCATTTGTGGGAACATGAGCAGAGCTAATGAGCTTCTTTCTGCATAGAATGATCAGGCAGGAGACAGACAGGGGGGTTCACCCTCACTCACATGTGGAAGCTAAAAGCGCTGATTTCAAAGTAGACAGAGGGCTGCACAGTAACCAGTGGGAAAAGAAAGGCTCCCGGTGCCTGGCCCAGCGACCCGAGTTCCAGTGCCAGGACCGGAGGGAAAGAGCCCATTGGTACACACCCTCCTTCCCCTTCACATGTGCACACGCATGCACACACATGCATACACACGCACAATACACACAAGCACACACATTCACACATATGCACAAAACACACATGCACACACATACACACATACACACACACATACACACACACGCACACACATGCATACATACACATGCACACATACACACACATGCACACATGCACACACACATGCACACATGCACACACATGCACACACACACAATGTAACAATGTCTTATAAAACAAAGAATAACGGCGGGCTCCGTTGGGAGGGGAAGGGGTGCAGGGAGACGGGGACAGGCGCTCCCAGACCCCAGCCAATCGTGCTTCCCTTGTCTGCACTTGGTGAGAGAGGAGAGCTACCTGCTGCAAGAACGGAGTCGTCCTCAGACGCCACCAGGAACCCCACAGCTTCGGGAAGCTTCTCCAGCAGGCTGTCTTCTCCAGAGGAAACCTGTGCAGTGAAAGGCGAGTGTCACTCTGAAGAGCCCTCCCCCACCCCGTGCCTCAGTTTCCCTATTAGACAAGAGGTGAGCCCAGGCTACCCCGGGAGTAATGGGCTAGACTGTGTGGAATCATTCCCAGCTGTGTGACCCGCCCCCAGTGACTCCCCAGTTCTGCAGAGTGGCAAGGGTGTGGCTGCAACTGCGAAGCTGTGGGGAACATGCCGGGCCTCTTGTGTTTCCCTGAAGGAAACGCAGAGCTCACTGCGATAGAGATGTTTTTGGAATAAATGAGACTGAGTGGCCTATGCCTGTCATCCCAGCCTGGAGGAGGTGGAGGCAGAAGGGCTGGTCAGCAGTGCAAGGTCACCCTGAACTACACAGAGTTCAAGGCCAGCCTGGGCTATACAAGACTGATGGAACCTGCACCTGCTGTTTAGAGTGTCAGCCTCCCAGCTGTGAACAAACTTTTTGTTTGTTTCTTTCCCCAACCTCCAAACAGGGTCTCACGGTGTAGCCCTGCTGTCCTGGAACTCACTCTGGAGACCAGGCTGGCCTCGAACTCACAGAGATCCACCTGCCTCTGCCTCCCGAATGCTGGGATTAAAAGCGTGGGCCAGAACTTCCTTTCTTTTTTTGTTAAAGATTTATTTTTATTTATTATGTCCTGCTTGCATGTATGTCTGCAGAGCAGAAGAGGGCACCAGATCTCACTACAGATAGTTTTGAGCCACCATGTGAATGCTGGGTATTGAACTCAGGTCCTCTGGAAGAGCAGCCAGTGCTCTTAACCTCTGAGCCATCTCTCCAGCCCCTTCCTTTCTTTTTTAATTTAATTTCATTTATTTATTTTGAGACAGGGTCTCGCAGTGTAGCTCTGATTATCCCGGAACTTGCTGTGTAGACCAGGCTGGCCTTGAATGAATGGAGATGGCGAGCATGAGGGCTCCAGGCTGCACTCCCACAGCAGCCCCTTGTATATCTGCCGCCGTCGCCGTCCACGCCCACTGCTTCAGACACAACTCTGCCTGTGTGTGTTCACCTCCCCACACTCAGAACGCTGGGCTGGACTCTGATACAAAGGGAAGCACGCCGCCCCAAACCCTGCTCCAATCCACACAACTTGAGGAAGCAGAGTTCATCTTGGCTTCCAGTTCCAGGTCACACATACCCCCAACGGAAGCAAGGCCTGGCTACCAGGATGGTGCCTGTGCTTCATGGCTTGGTCCCTTCTTGGTGGATCAGGAGAACAGAGCTCCTGCCAGAACCAGGAGCAGCTGCCACCTTCCAGCCACTCCCACTGTCTTGTAGTTGTGTCCACATTTGGAAGGTTCCACTACCACAACAAGGCACCAGCAGCTGGGGACCAAGTGCGTAAACACATGAGCCCATGGGGACAGGTCACATCTAATCCACAGCACAGAGCTGGGGCCACTGCCTGCTCCTCATGGGGACAACTCTGGAGATTGTTCACAGGGCCATCAATATTAAACTTAGATTTTTGTTGTTATTGTTTTTGTTTTAAGGGTTTTGCTTATACCCAGGCGTTGGTGGCGCACTCCTTTACTCCCAGCACTGGGGAGGCAGAGGCAGGCGGATCTCTGTGAGGCCAGCTTGGTCTACAGAGTGAGTGCCAGGACAGAGTTCTGCACAGAGAAACCCTGTCTTGAAGAACGAGTCCACAGGGGCACTCAGAGGCCAGAAGAGGGCGCCTGATCCACTGGAGCAGGGCTTACAGATGGTGAGCCACCCAGTTTAAGTTCTAGGAATTGAACTCAGCACCTCTGCAAGAGCAGCCAGTGCTCTTAACCACAGAGCCACATCTCCAGCCCTTGTGATGGTTTTAATGTCACTTTGACACAATGAAGAATCTAGGGAGGAGTGTCAGTAAGGTATTATCCAGATCCAGCTGGCCTGGGGCATCTGATTGTGTTAACTGCTGCATAAAGATCCAACCCTAGCCGGTCATTGGCGCATGCCTTTAATCCCAGCACTCGGGAGGCAGAAGCAGGCAGATCTCTGTGAGTTCGAGACCAGCTTGGTCTACAAGAGCTAGTTCCAGGACAGAGAAACCCTGTCCCGAAAAACCAAAAAAAAAAAAAAGACCCAACCCTGTCAAGGACTGAGCCCTGGATGAAGGGAGGGAGCCTAGTGTGTCATGGAGGTTCTACTGTGGATAGACCCACGAAGGCCTTCATGTTCACTGCTCACTATGGGGGGACCTGCCATCTAGACTTGTGACAGACTGTAACTTAGAACTGAGAGCCGATTAAACCTATTTCTCCCAAGTTGCTCTCGTCACAGTGTCATCACAGCAACAGGAATGGAAACCCAGCAGCCAAAAAAAAGTGAAAGGCGGCATTGTTCCTCCCAAGTTCCAGGACATCTGTACACTTTGTGAGGCATGCACAAAGGTCAGTGGTTAACTTCAGTGTCTCTCCTCTATCACTCTACCTTATCTTTTAATTATCTATTTCATATGTATGAGTGTATGTCTACATGTATCTATATGCACCACATGCATGCAGTGCCCACAGAGGCTAGAAGGGGGCAGAAGATACCTATGAACTGGAGTTACAGACAATTTTTGGCCAACATGTATGTGCTAGGTATTGAACCTGGGTCCTGTGCAACAGCAGCCAGTGCTCTTTTTTTTTGTTTGTTTTGTTTTGTTTTTTTTGTTTTTTCCGGGACAGGGTTTTTCTGTGGCTTTGGAGGCTGTCCTAGAACTCACTCTGCAGACCAGGCTGGTCTCAAACTCACAGAGATCCGTCTGCCTCTGCCTCCCAAGTGCTGGGATTAAAGGCGTGCGCCATCACCGCCCGGCATCAGTGCCCCTTTTAAAATTGTTTATTTATTTTTTATTTCATATGCATTCATGTTATGCATGCATATATGTCTGTGTGAAGGCTCCAGGTCCCCGGAAACTGGAGTTATGGACAGGTGTGAGCTGCCATATAAGTGCTGGGAATTGAACCTGGCTCCTCTGGAAGAGCAGCTGGTACTCTTAAGCCTCTCTCCAGCCCCTCTTCTTTATTCTTAGTGTTAGGATCTCTCATTGAGCCTGGAGCTCACTGATTCTGCTAGATTGCCCGACTCTGCCTCCCCAGGGCAGGAATACACATTTGGATACCCACCTCTGGCTTTATGTGGGTTCTGAACTTCTGAACTCTGGCCCTCGTGTTTGAGTGGCTGATTCCTCTCCCAATTTGTGGGAAATCGCTTACCAAGGAGAGGGAGCCGCTGCTGAAGCCAGTGACCAGCTTCACCTGTGTCTGGATGCAGACAGCACAGGTTGGCGTCTCCTCTTTGATGCTGGACAGCTGGCGTTTTCCCTGCAGCTTTCCCGTGGCTGAGCTCCACAGACTGACCTCACCACCCTTGGACACAGCCAGCAGCACACCCTGGGCAGCCAGCACCGCCACACAGGCCCAGGGATCAGAGGCTTCTCCTGGGACACAGAAAGCCAGCTTCGTGGTTTCCAGATTCCATGCGTTGATCTAGTGCAGTCAGGAAGAGCCAGAGAAACATCATCATCAGCCAGAGACATGGGCTGGAGCCCGGGCTCAGCAGGCAGAGCGCTCCCCCAGCACCTACGCAGCCTGGGGCGCCACCCCCTGCACATAATCCAGGTATGGTGCCTGTATCCCAACACACAGGAACTGGAGGCAGGAGGATCAGGGTCATCCTTAGCTACATAATGAGCTTGAGGTCAGCCTGGGCTACAAGAGATGCAGTTTCAAAAGACAAAATAAAAACAAACTAAAAAGAATCAATTTTTTAAAAATTAAAAGGGTGATTCCCAAGGAAAGCCTGCCTGAGTCTCTCAGAGATTCTCTCTCTCTCTCTCTCTCTCTCTCTCTCTCTCTCTCTCTCTCTCCCTCTCTCATTTTGACATATGGGGTCTTGTTATATTGTCCATGCTGGTCATGAACTCTGGGCTCAAACAACCCACCTTGTGCAGCCTTCCATGCAGCTTGGAGCATTTGTCACCAGTCACTGTGCCCAAGTGCACACATTCTTTTGTAATTTATAAAACAGTATTTTGGGGTGGGGTGCAGAGGCACACACCTGCTTTCTAACCATTCTGACACTGAGGCAGGAGGATCATAAGTTGAGGTCCAAAAGTGTACTCGTGTCTAGAACATATCTCAAAAGCAAAACCTCTTTCTTAATTTTTGTTTTGTTTGTTTTTGTCTTTTTCAACACAGGGTTTCTTTGTGTAGCCCCAGCTATCCTGGAACTTGCTCTGTAGACCAGGCTAGCCTTGAACTCAGAACACAGAGATCTGCCTGCCTCTGCCTCCAGAGTGCTGGAATTAAAGGGGTGCACCACTCTTCATCTGTTGATAACCCGTCTCTTTCAATACTGGTGGTTTTAAAAAAGATTTTATATTTTGGAAGCATTGATAGTGAGGGAACAAAGTCAGTTCTAATTGATAGGAGTTATCAATATTGATGTCTTATTTGTGACAAATGTGCCCTTGTTACATAAAATATTGATGACAGGGGCCTATGAGATGGTTCATCAAGTAGAGGGGCTTGCAGCCAAGCCTGATGACCTGAGTTTGATCCCTGGGACCCACATGGTGGAAGGAGAGAACCAACTTCCATGGTTTTTCCTCTGACCTCCATATGAGCCACACATGTACACACACCACAAATAAATGTTAAGATGCTGATGTTAAAGCTAGGTCTCATGCTTGGGAGGATGAAGCAGGAGAGTCGCCACAAGTTTGAGACAGGGCTATCCATCGAGACCCTGTCTCAAAAAACAAATGAAAAGATGTTGAGGGCTAGGAGTCAGGCATCGGATACAGCACTTGCTGGGCAAGCCTGGAGAATGGACTTCAGGTCCAGCACCTAGGTAAAGGCCAGACGTGGGTTCTAGACGCATGTGTAATGTTTACTATGTGAGATCATAAAACAGGCCACAGCAAATTTAAAAGACTCACATCACACAATGGACTCCAGGTAGGGAAACAAAAGATAACAAATAAAAACAAAAAACAGCCTGATCTGAGAACCTCTCAAATACTCAGAAACGGGGCTGGAGAGGTGGCTCGGTGGGTAAGAGCACTGGCGTCTCACATAGAGGACCTGAGTTCATTCTCAGCACCCACAGGACAGCACAGAACGATTTGTATCTCCAGTCCTGACTTCTGGCCCCCACGGGCACTGCACATACATGCTGCATAGACAAATACACAGGTAAAAGAGTCTGACACATACAATAAATAAACAAAACACCCAGCCACAAACATCACATGTCAGCATAACCCAGCATAGAAAAAGGAAGCAGAAGTAAGAGAAATGGCTCAGTGGGTAAGAGCATTTGCCAGGTAAGCAAGAGAACCTGAGTTCAAATCTGTACACAGCAGGTGCAGTGCGTGCGTGCGTGCGTGCGTGCGTGTGTGTGTGTGTGTGTGTGTGTGTGTGTGTGTGTGTGTTTGTGTATACACTCCTGCTGCTCCTATAGGGAGGTGGGAGGTGGAGACCGAATCTCTGAGAGCTCACAGGCCACCCTGGCATGTATAACAGCAGCAACGGAGATTTCCCTCCCCAACAAGGCGGACGGCAAGAACTGATACCCAACTTGTTCTTTGGCTTCTGTATGTTCCCCCACACACACATACCACATACCTCCTACATGTCACCCCTGCACCGTTATCTCACTCCATCCTCTGGGCATGAAGACTGAATTCCAGTCATCAAATTCGGTGGTGAGCCCGTGGCCGTGTCTCACCCAACCACTCTCCGCCTCTTTTGAGGCAGCCTCAACAAGCCTGTAGCTCATCTACTGAGCTGTGCCAGTGATGGCCAGTGAGCTCCAGGCAGCCCCAGCACCAGATCACAGACGCCACCCACCCTCAGGCCCTCAGGCTTAGATAACACGTTACCCAGCACCCACTCTCTTACAAGCAAACAAACAAACAAACAAACAAACAGGGACTGGAGAGATGGCTCAGAGGTTACGAGCGCTGGCTGCTCTTCCAGAGGTCCTGAGTTCAATTCCCAGTAACCACATGTTGGCTCACAGCCATCCGTAATGAGATCTGGTGCCCTCTTCTGGTGTGCAGATATACATGGAAGCAGAATGTTGTTAGATTACATAATAAATAAATAAAAATCTTAATAAACAAAGAAACAAACAAAAACCCAAGATGGCCTGGAGCAAACAGCAATCCTCCTGCCTCTGGTTCCCAAGAGCTGGGATTCTAGTTGTGTCCCACCACAACCAACACAGACACACACAGACACACACAACAGACACACACACACAGCCCTCAGTTTGTTACCTTTGCACTAGATGTTGAGTATACGACTTTGTTTATCTCATCTACATGGAGGCCCCATCTCTGAGGCTCTGTGGGATTTGGTGAGCCTCTGTCCACAATGGTGACTTTCTCCTGGCCAGAGAGCAGGCTCCACAGCCGCAGGGTGTGGTCCTTTGATGCAGAGATGGCTAGAGTCCCTTGGGCAAACACTCGAATGCACTTCACTTCAGCTGCAGTGGGTACAGTGTGGGAGGGCATGTTAGCTGGGGACAGTTTCTCCTGATTGCTACCTGTTTCAAAAATCTAAACAACTGCTGGGTGTGGTGGCACACACCTTTAATCCCAGTACTTGGGAGGCAGAGGCCAGCCTGGTCTACAGAGTGGTTTCCAGGACAGCCAGGGCTACACAGAGAAACCCTGTCTCCAAAAACCGGAAAGAAAGAAAGAAAGAAAACCAACACCAACAAACACAAACAAAAAAGCAAAAAAAGTTTCAAAAACATATCTATCTTTCTAGTATATATATACATATATACTAGATATACATATACATATATATGTATATGTGTGTGTGTTTTACAAAATGTTTAATCTGAAAGCATATGAACTGAACACCCCCTGAGGGAAGGCAGAACGACAATGTGCTGTCAGATGGGGACTCTGTGATTTCCTGCTCCTGCCCATTCCCATGGTGTAAATGTTCTCCCCTTAGCTGGTTTCCACTATTAGCATAAGGGCATTGAATGCAGAGCTGGGAAGAGATGCCTTTGTCCTACTTCATGCTCTGTGGCTGTGTCAAATAACCCGACAAACACAACTTATGGGAGGAGGGTTTACTGGGCTCACATTCCAGGGCACAGTTCATTGCTGTGGGGAACTCAAGGGGGGAGGTCAAAACAGCTGGTCACATACAGTCAATGGCAGAGGGAATAAGTGTCCTTTTTCTGTGTGCAGCTCCATGTCTCCACTCTTATACAATCCAGGGTCCAAACCTAGGGAATGGAGCTACCCATTACGGGCGGGTCCTCCCACCTCAAGACAATCCTGGAAAACCAACCTGGCACAGACAGTCCCTCCGGAGAATCTTCCAGGTAACTCTATATTGTGCCAAGTTGACAGAACTAAATACCATGCCCCCACACTGTCTCCTCCCCACACACAGCAGCAGAGGGTGTGGACGGAGTAAAAGACACGAAATGGCAAGTGGAGAGTTTGCAGTACTTTTAAAATTTGAAGGCGTCATCATCCTTGTATGTGTGAGCATTTCTGTTAGGGGAGGGGGTGACAAATGCCACCGTGCACAGGGCATGTGGAGGTCAGAGAACTTTCTGGAATATTTGTCTGCCTCTAACATGGGTTCTGGAGATCAAACTCAGGTCCCCAGGTTTTTGAGGTAAGTGCCTTTACCTAAACTAAAGAACTACCTTGCCAAACTCATGAACTCTAGACCAACAGCTGTGGAGACTCTAGTGGACCAAACTAGGCCCTCCATATGTAGGAGACAGTTGTGAAGCTTGGACTAGCCGAGGGGACCCTGGCAGTAGGACCACGATACAAACCTGGTCCATGAGTAGCTTGTTGGAGTCCATTCCCTCTGGTGGGAAGCCATGCTCAGCCTTAATGCATGAGAGAGGGGCCTGGCCCCAACCTATTGTGTCAGACTTTGTTGATTCATTATGGGAGCCCTTACCCATGAAGAGGAGTGGTCTTGGGGTGGGCTGGGGGGAGGTGGGGGGCAGGAGGAGGAGTGCGAGGGAGAACTGTGGTTGGAATATAAAATAAAATTTAAAATAAAGAAAAAAGAACTTGCCAGCCTGAGCATTATTCAAACCATGTTTTAGCATCGTTTAAAAAAGGGATTTTTCATTATTACTATTGTTACCATCATCATTATTATTGTTTTTAAAATGGGGTTTCTCTGTGTAGTCCTGGCTGTCCTGGCACTCACTCTGTAGATCAGGCTGGTCTTGAACTCAGAGATCCACCTACCTCTGCCTCCTGAGAGCTGGGGCTAAAAGTGGGCACCACCAACACCGACTTACAATTCTCTGCCCTCCTTGACCCACACCCTTGACAATATGGTTATATGGTTCTTTCCACCAATCCATCAATGGTGTCAGTCAAGTTTGCAGTGAGCTAGCCACTTCCTCAGTGTGACTATGATGGTGTGTCTATCAGTGCATGTCAGCCAGGCTGTGGCCTGGAGAACCACCCTGCGGAGCACTGCCTGAGATACCAACCCTCAGGAAAAGTGCCCTGTGAGAATGAAGTGATTGGTGATTGATGACCCCCCAATAGGTCATCTATATCATTCCTCCACAAGGCTCAGAGCTGTTATAGGATAGGAAGAGCAAAGAGTATCAGATCTAGAAACTCAAGGGGCTAGAAAGATGGCTCAGAGGTAAAGAACACTGGCTGCTCTTCCAGAGGTCCTGAGTTCAATTTCCAGCAACCACTTGGTGGCTCACAACCATCCATTTTGAGACCTGGTGCCCTCTTCTGGCATTCAGGTATACATGGAGGCAGACCGCTGTATATATAACAAATAAATATTTTTTAAAACTCTAGAAATGGGACTGGAGCGTTGTGTGAATGCTGCCTTTCGGGCATGACAAGACAGGACACCCATGAGCTGGCAGCAGCTGTGACCCTGCACAAGGTTGCTGTCTGTCATGCAGGGTGTGTGTCATTGGTCCCCATATATCATAGGGAGTAGCACTATTAGGAGGTGTGGCCTTGTTGGAGGAAGTGTGCCACTGTGGGGACGGGCTTAGAGGTTTCCTGTGCTCAGGGTACTGCCCAGTGTTGACTCCCTGTTGCCTGCAAGACACAGGACTCTCTGCTACTCCTTCAGCACCATGTCTGTCGCACGTCGCATGCTCCCCACCATGCTGATAATGGACTGAACTTCTGAAACTGTAAGCCACCACCTCAATTAAACGTTTTCCCTTTTAAGGGTTGCCACGGTCATGGTGTCTCTTCACGGCATTAGAAACCCAAGATGGAAGTGAAGAGGTCACAAGGATTTGCAGGCACTTTACCCGGAGGGGGATGTTTTCTGCAGTAGAGGAGCACCCGCAAGGAGCGCGTGCTCCTCTGCTCACCGTGCTCTGGTAATGACTCTGATGAAGTTCACGGGTTCATGCCCTGCCCACCCCCCATCAAAGGAAGAGAGGGGACTGACAAGAGAGGGAGGTGAATGTGATCTATCCAAAGACATTACAGATGTCACATGTTATAAGTGTGACAAACACGATGTCACAGTGAAACACACCCTTACATAGTTAATAGTTGCCAATAAAATCTTATACACACACACATATACATATACATAATACATACATATATACACTTGGTTGTGTGTCTAGCCTTTTAGATTTTTTAATTAGTAGTTATTTGTGTGTGTGTGTGTGTGTGTGTGTGTGTGTGTGTGTGTGTTTAGGTTAGAGGACAACTTGCAGGAGCTGTCCTCTTCTCCTGGAAGGTGTCTCTCCTTCCACCACATGGGTTGCAGGAATTGAACTCAGGTCATCAGGCCTTTACCTGCTGAGCCATCTCACCAGCCCTGCCCCCTCCCTGAAATATTGTTAAGATTTTCATTTATGTGTATGTGTGTCTCTCTTTGTGTCTGTAGGTGCCTGCAGAGTCCGGGAGAAGTTGTCAGATATCCTGGAACTGGAGTTACAGGCAGTTGTGAGCTCCCCAACCTGGAGCTCACTGGAACTGAACTAGGATCCTTGGAAGACCGAGTCAGTCTTCCCAGATGCTGCTCCCAATATTTTTCTAATAAACACTTGTTTTCAGTCACTGTGTATGAGGTGAGTTTGATGCAGCTCCAGCTGACTGATGCAGAGCAAACTCCAAAGCTTTAACATAGGGGCATCAGTGTGTGCAGGTGCAGTCACACTGGGGACACTGTGCAGCCATCCCACTTCCCATTCGTCACCTGTGTGTCCTGTTAGAATGTGGACAACCTGCTGTTCCTCCACGTCCCACACGACCATGATGCCATCCTGGGTGCCTACCACCAGTAGCTTCTCTTCCAGGCTCCATGCTACAGCGGTGATGCCTGCAGACACACAAAGGTGACAGCAAGCACCTGGGCACCCACAACATGGCCTCAGCCATGGTCTGTGAGGGCCCCCATTTACAGACAGAAAGCCAAGGCACAAACAGACCCAGTGGCCATCCTGAAGCCACCTAGCCAAAAGGACAGAAACTTTAGAGGGTGACCAAGAGACTGCCTGTGTCGTGATTTTTTTTTATTATTAAAGACTTAATTTTACTTTAAATTGTGTGTATGAGACACACATGCACACACAAGTGCTGGTGCCCACAGAAACTAGACATATCAGATTCCCCTGCAGCTGGAGTTGCAGTGCTGTGGGATAACCCCTCTGTACGCTATGAATATGTTTTTTAAGATTTTATTTGTTTATTATGTATACAACATTCTGCTTCCACGTATATCTGCACACAGGAAGAGGGAACCAGATCTCATAACGGATGGTTGTGAGCCACCATGTGTTTGCTGGGAATTGAACTCAGGACCTCTGGAAGAGCAGTCAGTGCTCTTAACCTTTGAGCCATCTCTCCAGCTCCCCAACTATGAATATATTTTCTTCCCATTGGTTAATAAAGAAGCAGCTTTGGTCTATAGCAAGGCAGTATAGAGGCAGGTTGGAAATCCAAGCAGAGACACTAGAGAAGAAGGGTGGAGTCAGACAGATGCCAACGAGCCACCATAGCAACAAGATGTACTAGAAAACAGTCAACGCCAGGAAGCCATGTGGCAAAATATAGATGAATAGAAATGAGTTAATTTAAGTTGTAAGAGCTGGTTAGTAATAAGCCTGAGCAATAAGCTCAGTGGTTTGTAACTAGCGCTAAGCCTCTGCTGCGGGACTGGGCTGGACAGAAAAGCCACCATTCACATTCAGGGGATTGTGATTGACTAGACATGGGTGCTGGGAACTGAACTTGAGTCTCTGAAAGATCAGTAAGTGCTCTTAATTCCTGAGCCACCTCTCCAGCACCTTAAAATGAAATAAAAATTAACATTCATTTTGTGTGTGTGTGTGTGTGTGTGTAGTATGTGTGTGTGTGTGTGTGGGTGTGTGGTGTGTGTAGTGTGTATGTGTGCAGGTGTGAGTGTAAATCAGAGGAAAACTTGCAGGAGTCAGTCATCTCCTCCCATCATGGGGGGTCCCCAGGACTGAACCCAGGTCATCAGGTCAGATGGCAAGCAAGCACTTCCACCCACCGGGTCCTCTCACCAGCCCTTGGCTATGATGGGAAGAAGGGTAGAGAGAGGACTCTGTGAGCAAAGCACTTACTGTGCAAGCCTTGTGACAAGAGTTTGCATCCCAGAGCCCTCGTGAAGCCAGATATGGCAGGATGCTCTTCTGTAGCCCCACAGATGGAAGGGAGGGGCAGGAGAACCGGAGCTTAAAGGCCAGATAGTGTTGGGACCCAGCCCCCACAGGGTCTCTAAGAGTTGTTTTCCAGCATAACCACAGGTACCTCCTGTTTTCCTGACCTCTCCCCACTGGGATCAATATTCTGTTGTGAACCCTTTGACCTGGGGTTTTGTAAGTTTGTATATAAGGCTGCTCCACAATAAAGGTGAGAGACATTCTCTCAGAAAGAAACCAGGCGTCTTGTTGTTCATCCAAATCTCCAGGCTTTCACCCCATACTTGGATATAGTAGTAGTGGCCATGAGCAGCCACAAGATGGTTTGCTATACACAGCAGTGAGCGAGAGACACTGCCTCAACCAAAGCTGAAGACACTGCTGTGACGGCTTGGCGGTTAAGATCTCCTACTGCCTCCTACTGCCAAGGACTGGGGTTCAGGTCCCAACACCCTCAGGGCAGCTCCTATCTGTATGTACAATCAATGCATGTACTTGAACAGATACATAAAGTAGATAAATCTAAAAAAAATAAAATAAAACACACAGGGTTGTCCTTTGACACCAGAGGAACTGGAGAGGTGATGTCCACTTGGTCTTGCCTGATGAAAGGCTCAAAACCTCCTCTAATTCCAGCTCCAGGGGATCTTCTGGCCTCTGCAGGAGCTGTACCCAGATATACATACACAGGTACACATATACAGATAATTAAAAATAAACACATAAAAATTAAGAGGGCACATCTTTAATCCCAGCACTCAGAGGCAGAGGCAGGTGGATCTGTGAGTTCATGGCCAGCCTGCTCTACAGAATGAGTGGCAGGACAGCCAGGGCTACACAGAGAAACTCTGTCTTAAAACTCCCCCCACCTGCTGAAAAAAAAGAAAAGAAAAAAACAGCAAATTAAAAAAGGAAAATAGCCCAAACCACAGCTTGGCCAACGGTCCTCTTACAGGGAAAGCTCTGTGCCCAGGGATTCTGCATGACTACATTTTTCCCTACATTTTTAGAGGCAGCAGTTAGGGACAAAGATGTGCCTGGTGTCTGGTGGTGCAGGTGTGACCATTTGAATATGCAGGGTCCCGATAGGCTCCCAGAGTTCCTATAGGTGGTGCTGTTGGATGGTTCTGGAAGTTTCAGGCCTAGCCCAAGGAAGCAGGCAGTGGGAGGTGGGTCTTGGGAGTGTGATGACACCCCAGATCCCTTCCAGAATCAGCATCGTCAAGTAGTGCTGAACAACTGAGGATGGAGCCTCGTTTCCCTTATGTCAGGCATTTTGTCACCACTACAAGGAGAGTAACTGGCACAGCTGCAGAGTTGTGACACCCTACAGAGCTCAGAGCCTCTGGTGTCAGAGTGCTCCCATGGTTTGATGGCAGATTGTTTGGTGGCTGACTGCTGCAAGAGTTTCCCAGCAGGCTCAAGCCCAAGCCAAGGCTGGAACCAGAAACTGACAGTCCCTAAGCCCAGGGCCAGGCATCCCAGAACCCAGGGACCTAAGCCAGGATTGTCAGGAACTCAAAACCAACCTGGGTTATGAAGTGAGTTCCAGGCCAGCCTGAGATACCAAGTGAGACCCTGTCTCAGACAGACAGACAGATAGACAGATGGACAGCTCAACAGGTTAAGGGTTCTCCCCACAAACCTGGCCACCTGAGCTATATACCCAGAACCGTTTAAAGGCAGGAGACAACTGGATCTGCAGTGTCATTCTCTGACCTCTACACATGGGCTGTACTATGTGTACACAGACACACACACATATACACACACACACTTGCATACATACATCCACACATGCTCCTGAACACATGCACAAGCACACACCCAAGAAGAGGAAGAGGCGAGGAAACAGAAGATTGCTAATAGTTTAGGCAAGCAGGGTGGGTCTTGGCTCAGACCTCACTGAACAGAGAGGCAGCCAGTTAGCCTCAGATCATACCAGCCCATGGCCTAAAGGGACGGCTCAGTGGATAAAGCACTTGCAGCCAAGCATGAGGGACAGAGTTCAGATCCTCAGCTCCCGTGTAAATACGGCAGAGCTGGGATCCCTGAATCAAGTTGTCTAGCTAGAATAGTTGCATTTGTGACCTCTGGGTTCAACTGGAGGATTCCATCTCAGTGGATAAGATGCAGAGTAATTGAGGAAGACATCTAAAAGACCCTCCTCCAAGCCAGGGTGGTGATGTTTTATGATCTAACAAATAAAGCTTGCCTGAAGATCAAAAAAGCAAAGCAGCCAACCACTAGAGTTCTCACCTCTAGCAAGGCTGGGATGATCCTGTTCTCAGTGTGACTGCAGACTGAATGCCCTACACTCCTGTCTCCACCGGCCTTATAGTCCTCTCTAGCGCTGGGATTAAAAGCGTGCACCCCCCCCCCCAGCTTCTATGGCTAGTGTGGCTGCTGGATTGAAGGTGTGTGCCACCACTGCCTGGCCTGTATGGCTGACTAGTGTGGCTAGCTCTGCCCTCTCATCTTCAGGCCAGCTTTATTTGTTAGATCATAAACAAAACATCACCACACCAGGGCCCTAAACTCAGCTCAAGTGCCAGGAGTCCAGCTGCTTGGAGTAGACAGAAGCAAAGCAACTGGCCCCTTTTGCCTTCCCTGCAGCTACACATCCCAGCTCGGAGCCCGCAGTCTGCGCTGTAAAATAAAAAGCTGCCACAGCTATCAGCTGTCTCAGCGCTCACCCTTCATTTCCACATTGGGCCTACACATGCATGACTATATGTGTGCCCACACACATGTAAATATGTACACACACAAGCAAGAGAGGCTGGAGACACCGCTCAGCGGCTAAGAGCCCTGGCTGATCTTGCATCTGGCATGGGTTCGATCCCCAGAACCTACTTGGCAGCTCAGAACCATCTCTGACTCCAGTTCCAGGAGACCCAAAGTCCCTCTTCTGGCCTGCAATAGGCACTAGGCATATAGATGGTACACAGTGAGTCGCACATGCAGGCAAAACACTCATCCACATAAAAATAAAATTAATGAATTTTTAAAAAGAAAAGCCAGCTTAGGTATGGAGAAATCAGGCATTTCTGAATGTCCTTACATGAGTCCTATTCCTTCTGCATACCTTAGTTTCCCCAGATATGAAGTGGTTGGTTGCTGGAGGTTGTTAAGTCACAGTTGACCCAGCTATACCCATGTTTTCTTTGTTTTTCTTAAACATTAACTCACATTTTTTTCCCACTTAAACAAATAAGGGAACAGAAGCCCGGAGTGGGGCAGACCCTCCTCATTCCCTAACAAGACAAGTGGAAGCACAGAAAGCACATGATGGGAACATTCTTCTCAGTGGTAAATTCCCCTGCCTATGCATGGCAGACATTACTAATCTGTCACAGCATCACTGATTCATCTGTGGCTGTACTCATAGCCATTTTATGTTCTTCATTTAGTAAGAAGGCCCCAAAGTTCATGTGTTTTTATCTGAACATACAGTTACCTACACAATACCCAGAGCAGAGAGAGAGAGAAAGACAGATAGATGGACAGACAGAGACAAAGAGACTGAGACAAAGACAGAGACACAGAGAGACAGAGATTATATTCATGCTCACACAAGGAGAATATTTTCTCACAGCCTTACAGTTGGAGGATGTTCTGGTGGAAGCTTCACCCCAGCCCCTGGCATCCACATACCCAAAGAGTCGGGAATGTTCTGGTGGGTTCCACCCAAGCCCCTCCCCTATTTCTCTCCAAACCCTGCTGCATTTCAGAAAGTCCCCAAATGATGATCCTCCCCCAGAGATGCTCAAGACCACTCCCACAGGGTATTTAAACTGTCTCCCAGAAAACAGACTTGTGGTATTCCCATCTCCTCTCTGTGGGGCTGGAAAATTATCTGGGAGCATTATATCCATTAAATGTGGGCTTTTTCCAATTCAGTTTGATTTGGTTTGATTTGGCTTATTGGGGTGCAGAAACTTTTCAGAGATGTCCTAGTACTAGTCAATGACATAAGAGTAGAAACAGGGTCTTCTAGGTGGTACCTCTAATAGGAAGAGGCATACCACCTCCCTTCCCCCCTTCTCACAGGCTGGAATGACCGTAAGGGCTGCAGCAGCCAATGAACAAATCCTTGCCCCCAACACCCTAAGTGCCTCTGTTTAAGCTACTGTGTGGGCTCAGGTCCAACCGCTCCACCTGGGTCTTCCTAACCAGCACAGCCATTCTAGCTAGACTGATTTGCAACGCTGAGTCATTTCCTCTGGGAGCCTTTCAGCGTTGACATTTTCTGTTGTGGAGAGAAGCTGCCTCAGGGTGGAATGAAAGGTACTGCAGCCTGGAGCCCTGAGCGGGCTGTATATGGGTCTCAATGGACGAGGGATAATGAGGTGACATGTGATAGAGTTGGTAAGTGGCTGTGAACTCACACATGAAGGCACCTGACCCTCACCCAGCCCCCTGCTTTAGCAGCATGACAGGCTGCAAAATAGACATGTAGGCCTCTGACACAGCACATGTCTGACCTTGCTGGGCTTTCCCTAGTCACTAGGAGGTCAGACACCCTCCATGTTGCAAGGAACCAATTAGAAGTTAGATGGCTGGATTCTGGACGGGCTTTACAGCTCTGGGCCTGCTTTACGGTAAAATTGGCGTAACAGTGAGGTACAGAGCATAGCATCTGCCCTGGGAGTGCCTATAGGCCATAACAAGCAGTTGACCAATCAATACAGGACAGGTCACCCAAACCCAGAAGCACACCAATCTTGAGACCGTTGCTTAGCCCTAGACACTCCCCTTACACTGCTCAATAAATTCCCCACCTCGTGGTTCCCCTGGGTCCTTCTCACACCAACCTCCATGTTGGACGAAGGGCCTGTGTTAATGCAGTTAACACATTAATAATAAAAGACTCTCTGCTTTTGCATCGGAATGGGTCTCTTGGTGATTTGGGGGTTCAGAATTTAGGCACAACAACAAGACAACACACATACACACAGAGAGACAAATTTTTTAAAAAAGAAAAGAAATCTGCCTGCCTTTGCCTCTTGGGTGTTGGGGTTAAAGGCATGTGCCACTGAAGGCCCAGACCCTCACGCAGCCCCTGCTTCAGCAGCCATGACAGGCTGCAGAAGAGACCCAGCAAGATGTAGGCCTCTGACTCAGCAACACGTGCTGAGTTTCTGACCTTGTCCTAGTCACCAGGAAGCCAGATACCCTCCATGTGGCAAGGAAACAATCAGAAGTTATCGGGCTCTGGATGTGCTTTACGGTAACAGTGAAGTATAGAGCATAGCAACTGCCATGGGAGGACCTCTAAGCATAGCAACCTTTCCTGCAGGAGCAGTTGGCCAGTCAACACAGGACAGTCGCCCAAGCCCAGAAGTGCACCAATCCTGAGACTGTTGTAGACCCCAGACACTCCCCTTGCTCTACCCCAATATATTCCCTGCCCCATGGCCATTCCGGGTCCTTCTTGCTCCACCCACTGTGTCAGACAGAGGGAAGACCCGAGTTAATACAGTTAACTCGTTAGTTAATTAATTAAAGACTCTTTACTCTTGCATTGAATCACGTCTCTTGGTGATTTTGGGGTTCAGAATTTGGGCACACCACCACCACCACCCAGGCTAAGAAAAGGAATCTTAAAAAAGGAAAGATACAAGGTAGCAGAGTGGCTGCTAAGGAGAGCCGCTGAAGGAAGGGATTGCATGTGCACAGGTGAGCTAGTTACTCAGAAGGCATAGTGACTCGGTGTGTGGATGCCTAAGTCCTCTTTCCCTGGGCGTTCCAGTGTGAAGCCTTAGCCCAAGTCCCCCGCATCCTGTCAGGGTGGTCAGCTTCACACTTGCAGAACACCTGGCATGAAACTCCAGCTTGTGGGACTCTGTAGGCAGCAGCTCTCTGGGGCACAACCTCAGAGGCATCTGCCAGCTGCTGGGTCATTAAAAGTATTTACAGCAGTAATCTACATTCCCCCGGGACAGAGAAGGCCTAATCATGACACAGCAAGGGAAGGCCCCAATGGGACCTTGGGGCCTCCTGTCTGGCAGAGGGGAGCCCCAGAGAGCAACCCCAAATATCTGGGCCCCTGGGTACACAGTGAGCTGGTGTGGTTTTTTGTGATGATGGGGACACTCACCTTTGTGACATCCAGTGAGAGTGGCTTGAAGTCGTCCCCCAGGTGGTTGCAGGAATCCTGCCAGGGGCACCAGCATTGGGTGTGGGCAGGCACGGAACCAGCTCTGGGCTTGTTGGCACAGCTGTCCGATCATCGCTGGATGCGACGTAGCAAAAAAGAGGAGCCTGGCCAGGAGCTCAGTGTACAGGATGCTGTTTTCTGCAATCAAAAGTGGTGTCACTGCCTGGCTGAAGCTCGCCACTTCACGAGCCCCAACTGCTACAGGACTGCAGAAGAGAAGCTGGGACACCTCAGCTCCAGGCCCAGTCAAAACTCCTGCCTCACTGTCTGTGTCCATCCATCCCTGCCTCCTGCACACAGAATAGCCACCAGCCTCCAGGTTCTGCTGTCCATGCTCCTCTGCCTTGAGCTCTTCCTGAGCCCAAAGGGCACTTCTCCATCACTGAGTTAACTAATTATTTATTCATTTTGTCAGTGCCCAGATCAGCTTTGCCTCCTGGGCTCAGGATAGCCTCTCTCTGCAGCTCCCCAAGGAGCTGAGATCCAGGTGCATGGGTGAGTGGGTGTGGTGAGGAAGGGGTATGGTGGCCCGATTGGTGGGTGTGGGTGCATTGATGGATGGGAAGGTAGGGGATGATGGATTCACAGAGGGATGGAAAGGTTGGTGTTGGGTGGGAAGATAGACAAATGTGAGGGTGGGAGCTGACAGATGAATGGGCAGACTGACGGATGGACAGATAAAGTTTGAAGGAAAGACTGGAAGGGTGGATAGACAGACAGATGAAAGAATAAAGACAAGGAGGTTGCGAGGCTCAGTGGATAGGTGAAGTGTGCCCAGCTTTCAAATGCCACCTCTGTCAAATTCATTCCCTGACTCCAGTCCAGTCCTTCCGCCGGCCCAGGCTGCTGTGTGACTTCTCTGCAGCCCATTTGGCAGCCCCTCAGCCTCCTCCCTGCTCTTTAATTTTCCAGGGACAAGCATGTCATCTGTACAGCCATTGCTCAGCACAACACAGACACTCAGTGGACGCTTCTGTTTAGTGTGGTGGCACATGCCTGGTTCCCATCTCTCTGGAGGCTTAGACAGCAGGATTAAGAGCTCAAAGCCAGGCTCAGCTGAATAGCATGACCTGACTGAAAAAGAACAGAGACTAGACTTTATCTAAATGTGTTTGCTGACAAGCCTGATGACTTGAGTTTGATAACCAGGACCTAGGAGAGAGCCAACTCCCTCAGGCTGTCCTCTGACTTCCCATACATGAGTATCTAACCACATGGGCACACACAAACAGAACATTTTTGAAATGGAGAAGGCTGGAGAGAATTCTCCCTGGTTTCAAACATGTACCCACAATCAGGTGGCTTACATCCACCTGTAACCCAAACTCTAGGGATCCAACCTCTCTACCCGGCACGGGCACCTGCACACACACACAGAAAAATAAAAATAAAGACAGAGGATCAGAAATGGCTCTGTGAAAGCTGTTAGGGCCAACACCGGGCTGACCCCGTCCCCTGACGACAGATGGGATACGCACAGGGATGTGCTACGCCGTCACATCACTCATCACGCATTACGGACCTGTGAGAGTTCTCTGCGCATGGAACCTCAGTGCGCATGTGCGGTTTTCCCTTTCAAAGTTCCACCTACCCCGCCTCTCCCCTCTTCTCAATCCCCTCTTCTCTTCACTCACGCCCTCTTCTCTTACTCTCTCTCTGCCCTGCTCGGTTCTTCCATTTCTCTCTCTCTTGCTTTCCTGCCTTATAATAAACTGGTTAATATGTTCTCTACAGTCCATGTCCATCTATCTCAAATTTCTAATTTAAGCAAAAGAATAACAAAAGCCACACTGGTTCCTGCAGCATTGACTGGGGGGCATCCTTTCCCTACCAGGTGGCCATTCTCAAAGTAGACATGGAAGTGTTCTGGGAACAGACGCTGCCGTACTGCCCTCTGCTGGTGATATTTTTCACCGCTCCTGGGGCTGTAAAGGAAGGAGCTTTTGCAAAGATTCTCTCTCTCTCTCTCTCTCTCTCTCTCTCTCTCTCTCTCTCTCTCTCTCTCTCTCTCTCTCTCTCTCTCTCTCTGTGTGGTGTGTGTGTTTGTGTGTGTGTCTGTGTGAGTGTGTGTGAATGTGTGTCTGTGTGTGTCTCTGTGTGTGTGTGTGTGTGTGTGTGTGTGTGTGGGTGTGTGTGTGTGTGTGTGTGTGTGTCTGTGTCTGTGTCTGTGTCTGTGTCTCTGTGTGTGTGTCTGTGTGTGTGTGTGTCTGGGTGAGTGTGTGTGTGTGTGTGTGTGTGTGTGTGTGTGTGTGTGTATGTTGGGGGGGTGGCCCAGAAGGTAGAATGCACAAAGCCTTGGGCTCCAGCCCCAGCACCACATGAACCAGCAGTGCTCTTAAATAGCTTTCCAACAGTGGGGGTGATAGCAAAAACAGCTATTATCATGTATAAAGTTGATATCGGGGCTGGAGAGATGGCTCAGAGGTTAAGAGCACTGGCTGCTCTTCCAGAGGTCCTGAGTTCAAATCCCAGCACCCATATGGTGGCTCACAGTCATCTATAATGAGATCTGGTGCCTTCTTCTTATGTGCAGACACACATGAAGACAGAATACTATATACATAATAAATAAATAAATATTTAAAAAAGCTGTTATCAAATATTTCATTTAGTGGGCGTTGGTGGTGTACGCCTTTAATCCCAGCACTCGGGAGGCAGAGGCAGGGGAGTGCCAGGCTCCAAAGCTACACAGAGAAACCCTGTCTTGAAAAAACAAAAACATTCATTTAATCCTAGAGGAGACATTCTCCACTGAGGCCAAGCCATCCATTGATAACCAGCTGCCAACTAAAAGACAATGTGAGATTCCTGGTATAGAGCTTGAGGCCTGTATCCGAAATACCATAATTGATTTTTTGGGCCCCTGACAATCCCCCCTTTTAAATTATTAAAATGATACCATCAGAGGCAGAGGATAAGGAGTTCAAGGCCATCCTTCACCACACAGAGTTCAAAGCTAGCCTGGGACACATGAGACTCTGCCTCAAACAATTTACAGGGAGTAAGTAGAGCCTTCAGGTTCTTAGAGCCAGAAAGTGGCTCAGGAGGAGGAACCAGGACCTGGGAAGGGTGATGGGGACCGAAGGTGTCATAGGGATCAGTCAGTGAGGAGGGAGGGCGGTGATGGTTCTGCAGCTCTGGAGAGAAGCCGATGGATGCCACAGAGTGTCTGAGCAGGTGACAATGCTGACTGGTGAAGCTGGCCTTACAAACATGGGGCTTTAAGTTTGATTCCAGCACCTTGGCAAAAACCCAGCCTGGTGGTGCACACTGTAACCAGGGAGGCAGAGACAGGCGGATCCCTGGAGCTCCGTAGTTATCAGACACACACGACAGGCCCATAAGACACACTCATTGGGCACACCTATCAGGAACACCCCCACATCAGACACACACATCATCAGACACACACACACACACACACACCACAGAACCATCAGACACTCCCAGCAGGCACACACATCAGACTCACAGAGGTCAAAGACACCCACTGGACACACCTATCTAACACATCCATAGGACACACCCAGAGGTATGGCTTGCCAAACAATAAGATTAAATACTTTCAAAAACTTTATCTTTTATCGGGCACAGTGGCACACACCTTTAATCCCAGCACTATAGAGCAGAGCAGAGTGGGTCGCTCAGTTCGAGGCTAGCCTGGTCTACAGAGTGAGTTCCAGCACAGCTTTCCAAAAATAAAAACAAAACAAAACTCACCCACCTCTTCTTTGAATTGTTTGACAGCTTACTTCTTTAAATTTCATTTTGTTTCTTTCTTTGTATGTGAGTGCATGTACACACACACACACACACACACTAGGGGTGTGCAGAGGTCAGAGGACAACCTGTGGAAATCACTCCTCTCCTACTACCCTGTGGGTTCCAGGACTGAATCACGATGTCAGGCTTGGCAGCAAGTGTCTTTATTTGCTGAGCCATGGAGGTGGTTCCTTACTTTCTGAGGTGAGATCTCTCACTGAACTAAACTCACATATTCATCGAGACTGGGATCTGTCTGGCTGCACCCTAACTCTGGGGCTGCAGGTGCATGCAGCAGCCCGAGCTTTGGAGTGGGGCTGGGATCTGAACTCAGGTCCTCAGGCATGTACAGCCAACGCTTTACTACTGAGCCATGTGCCAGGACCTGTGCTTTTCCTCCTCATCTTCTCTTCCTTCCTTCCTTCCTTCCTTCCTTCCTTCCTTCCTTCCTTCCTTCCTTCCTTCCTTCCTCTTTCTTTCTTTCTTTCTTTCTTTCTTTCTTTCTTTCTTAATTTTTTTCTTTCTTTCTCCCCCCCCTTCTTTCTTTCGTCACAGGGTCTTATGTAACTTAGGCAGACCTTGAACTCCTGGCTTCCTTCCTCTACCTCCTGAGGGTTGGGATGGCAGGCCTGCACCCCCAACTCCATTTTCACTCTTCTGATTTATTCTTGCTTCAGGTCCCCAGCTCCCTGGGTTATCTCAAGATGCAGGAGCTCAGTGCCCTGTGGCAATCGGCTGCCCTGGGGCCAACAGAATCCTGCAGAACCGGACCTGAGACAATGATCAGCCAGACCACTGCACCAGGGCGGCTCAGCTTTCCTTTGTTCCTCCACTGTGAACACCTCACATGGACAGTCTTCCTATCACCAGACTGACGGTTTTGTCCCTGGTGTGGCCACACAGAAGACAAAGATCTTTTTTGTGCTCACTGTCACTTCTTTGTTTGTTTGGGTGTTTGTTGTGCAATTGTTCTTTTGTTTGAGACGGGGTCTCCTTGTGTAGCTCAGTTGTCCTGGGATTCGCTATGTAGACCAGGCTGGCCTTGAACTCACAAAAGTCCACCCACCTGCCTCTGCCTCCCGAGTGCTGCGATTGAAGCCACCATACCTGGTCTGTCAGTTTTTGTTGCTCTTTTGAGACAGAGTCTCCCATAGCTTAGGCTGGCCTTGAACTTGCTAGGTTTGAAGTTGGCTGAGGATGACTCTGAACTCCTGATCCTCCTGCGTCAGTCTTCCCAGAGCTGGGATGCCAGGTGTATTCCAAAGCACAGGCTTGCTACCCAGCTTGCTGAGTCAGGTGGAAGGTTGGGGGTTCCTCTGGGAACCTCCAGTGTTGGGGCTCTAGCCTGGTACTCCAGCACCAAGTTCAACCTCACTCCCCCCAATTTTACTTTCAAATAAAATGCCATGTTGGGGCAGGCAAGATGGCTCAGCAGACAAAGGTAATTGCCACCAACCAGGCCACATGTGACAGAAGGAGAGACCTGAATCATGCTGCTTTGTCCTCTGATCCCCACATGCTCACTGTGGTACACACATATAACATAAAAAATAAATGTACTTAAGTAAATTAAAAACTAACACATAAAGCAAGACACCATCTGAAGCACCCAGATGAAGGCAAAATTTTTATAAAGCTGCACATGGTGGTTCACACTGTACTCACAAGACTGAGGCAGGAGCATCACAGCTTTGAGATCAGACTGAATTACACAGTGAGACTCTGTCTTGAAAGGAAGGAAAAACAATCTTCATAGAGTAGTCACTCTTCTCCTTTGTGTGCACACATGTGAGTGGTTTGTTCAAGGCAGATCTCACAGTATAGCTCATGCAGGCCTGGAACTCACTATGTAGTCCAGGCTAGCATTGGACTTGCAATAATAATTCTCCAGCCTCAGTGTCCTGTGAAAACAGATGCATCTGCCCCATCTGCCTACAATAATTATTCTGTGTGTTTTAGGCATGTGTGCATGCTCGTGTGTGCATGCTCGTGTGTGTATCTTCATATGTGTATTGGGTGTGCTTCTGTGTATGCTTGTGTGTGCATGCTCGTGTGTGTATCTTCATATGTGTATTGGGTGTGCCTCTGTGTGCATGCTCATGTGTGCATGCTCATGTGTGTATCTTGATATGTGTATTGTGTGTGCCTCTGTGTGTGCTCATGTGTGCATGCTCGTGTGTGTATCTTCATATGTGTATTGTGTGTGCTTGTGTGTGCATGCTCCTGTGTGTATCTTTTTTTTTTTTAGAGTTTTTTTTTTAAGATTTTATTTATTTATTTATTTATTATGTATCCAAAATTCTGCTTCCGTGTATATCTGCATACCAGAAGAGGGCACCAGATCTCATAAGGGATGGTTGTGAGCCACCAAGTGGTTGCTGGGAATTGAACTCAGGACTTCTGGAAGAGTAGTCAGTGCTCTTAACCTCTGAGACATCTCTCCAGCCCCTCGTGTGTGTATTTTCATATGTGTATTGTGTGTGCTTCTGTGTGTGCTTGTGTGTGCATGCTCATGTGTGTGTGTGTGTGTGTGTGTGTGTGTGTGTGTATCTTCATATGTGTATTGGGTGTGCCTCTGTGTGCATGCTCATGTGTGTATCTTCATATGTGTATTGGGTGTGCCTCTGTGTGCATGCTCATGTGTGTATCTTCATATGTGTATTGTGTGTGCCTCTGTGTGTGCTCGTGTGTGAATGCTCATGTGTGTCTTGTGTGTGTGCATGTTCATGTATGCATGTGTGCACCTTGTGTGTGCATGCCGACGTGTTCGTTTGCATGCTCCTGTGTGTATGCTCACATGTATGCGTATGTGTGCACATGTGTGTGGCACCAGAGGTCACCATCCGATGTCTTTCCTTCATCACTCTCCCCTTTAGCTTTGGTATCAGGATGTCACTGACCCTGAAACTCACGGGTTCAACTGGACTAGCTGGCCAGCAACACCCAGTGACCCTCCTGGCTCCACTCCACCCCCAGCACTGGAACTGCAGATGTGTAGCCCCACACCTGGCCTTTTACATGCTTGCTGGGGATCTGAAGTCCTCCGGTTCTCATGTCAAGGACTTTGCTGACTGAGCCACCTCCCCGACCCCTGTGATTATACCCACTTTCTGAATTTCATCAATGAAAAATCTATGGGACTGCAGGGTGGTGGTGGCACACGCCTTTGATCCCAGCACTCGGGAAGCAGAGGCAGGAGGGTCTCTGTGAGTGCCAGGGAGTGAGAGGGAGTGCCAGGACAGCCAGGGCTACATAGAGAAACCTTGTCTTGAACAAACACACACACACACACACACACACACACACACACACACACACACACACACAAAACCCATGGGATTTATTTTTCTCTCCTGTCACTTAAGTTTGAACGCACTTCCCTTTACTCCCCTGAAATACTTCCTGTCTGCTCTTGTCTAGAGGAAAGTGTGGGTCCAGGGGGAGGGAAAGCATTGGTTTTTCAGGTTTTGTTCTAAAAGTTCTTCCTGACTGCATCCCAAATTCTACAAGTTAGTACTGTAGGAGAGGCTGTGGAGTTAAACAAGAAAGTGACACAGTGGGTGGATAGAGAAGGAGACATACAAATGGGTGGATGGGTGGACGGGTGGGTGGGTGGATGAGGAATGAATGGAAGGTGGGAGGATTGATAGGTAGATGGGTAGATGGATAGACAGACGGCTGGGTGGATGGATGAGCAGATGAGTAAATGACTGACAGATGGAGGTGTAGGTTGGTAAAAATCAACTTTACAGTTCCCTGGGAAGAAAGGGTTTCTGAGGTTTCTAGAGAACAGTGCAGAGCACACCCTCCTGTCAGGCCAGGACACTCACCCATGCCCCGGAGCTCCACAGCAGGGCGACACAGCTGGAGGGCTTCTCTGACCAGACTAACCTCAGGAGAGTCCATGTGAGGGGCACACATGTCAAAGTCATCCAGCAGGTCCTCAATGCTCCCAGAGATGCCCCGGCAGGAGATCCAGTTCATGTTCCCTGCGGAGGACAAGGAGTGAGGAGAACCGGAGCCCTTGCATCCTGTTGGCTCACTCTGAGGGTGGGAGAATGGCCTCCCTTTCTCTCTGGGGCTCTTGAACTCCAAAGTTCTGGCACTGAGCCTGATGGTTTCTTTGGTAGGCACTGAGCTGTGATTGATAGAACATGACCTAGCCTCCACCCCAGATGCTGCTGATACCTCTACCTGTAAGCATGCCTCTCAGAAATGTTCCCAGGATTTGCCTAGTGTCTCCTGGAGGAAGAATGTCCTTTGAAAATCACGGGTATGGGTGGTGGGTGGGAAAATAAGTAGATGGAATAGATATGTAGACAACCATCCATCCATCCACCCACCCACCCATCCATCCATCCATCCATCCATCCACCCACCCACCCATCCATCCATCCATCCATCCATCCACTCAGCCACCTCCTATCCATCCATCCATCCATCCATCTGTCCATCCACCCATCTACCAGTCCATCGATTCTTCTACTCGTCTACCCATTCATAACTCATCTATCTACCAACATGCTCCTCCATCTATCTGCTCATCAATACATACACCCCTCTATCATTCTATCATCCATTTATGGATCCACCCATCTATTCATGTGCCTGTCTACCTGTCTACCTACCCATTAATGGTGCATCAGTTATCTATCTATCTATCTATCTATCTATCTATCTATCTATCTATCATCTGTCTATCCACCCATCGATATCCATCCATCCATGTGTCCACTTATCTATCAATTCATTTATCCGCCACACCATTACTCTGTAGTTTTCCCTTCAGTACCAGCTTCCATTTACCCATCCATCCACCTCTCTCTCTCTCTCTCTCTCTCTCTCTCTCTCTCTCTCTCTCTCATTCATTCACCCATCTGTCCACCTTCTCAAAGGAAGAATGTCCCTTGAGAATCACGGGTATGGATGGATGGATGAGTGTTGGGTGGATGGATGGGTGGATGGATAGTTGGGGAGTGTCTAGGGCTCTTGTGGCCTCGGTCAGGGTAACCCTTACCCAACACCTCCTGCTTCAGCTCCTCCATGCGGCCCGCATGCAGCAGATGGAAGGGCAGCTCTGTCAGCTTCCTCCAGTTGGCCACTGTGCCTGAGAACCACAGCGGCTGTGGGGCCACCTGGTGGAGGTGGGGAAGGTCGTCAGCTTAGGCTTGAATTCATGGGCTTTCCTTCCTCCACAAACACTGTCCAAGCTGGCACCAGATGGTGCTGGAGGGGACAGAGACATGGTGGAAAACAGAGATACCCACCAACCCCCACAGGCAGGCTGGGCCAGATGGAGGGACACGGGGCTTGAGCATTTCAAGGATGAGGCACGGCAGGGAAATGGGAAATTTCTGCTAAATGTGGGCCATTGGAGCTGGGCCTTGGAGGATGAGTAGGAGTCTGGTAAAATATGTCGGAGCAGTGGCATTGCCAGGCACTATGGTGCTCACCTGGAGTTACTCAGGAGGAGGAGACAGGAGGGCCACCGGAGCCTAGGCCAACTTAAACAGCAGGGTGTGGCCCCATCTCCCAAAACAAAAACAAAAGATTGCGACAATAACAAAAACCAATAACATAGACGAAGACCCAGAGGCTGAGAGTACAGTGAGTTGAGGAAGGGCCAGTCATAAGGGGGCGGAGGTGACTCAGAAGGGAGAAGTAAATGAGGAGAGGACTGCTGGCAGCAGGCTGGAGATGCAGGCACTGGGGAGCTACGGGGTGGGGGGAGGAGGGGGACATGGCCAGACTGCATTCCAGGGGCTGGGAGAGCAGAGAGGAGGCCCTGGAGGCCTCAAAGGCAGAGCTGAGCCTCGAGTCAGGAGCACGGGACAGCATCCAAGCTGAGGACATCAAGGCACATAAGGGAAAGGACCAGGATCTCTTCTGTATGTTCACCAGTAACCACACATGTGTGTGTGTGTGTGTGTGTGTGTGTGTGTGTTTGTGTGTGTGTGTCTGTGTGTACATACACAGTGCAGAGATAGATATCGCAACTTTTCCTCAATTGTGCTCCATGTGACTTTTTGAGACAGACTCACACTGATCCACACCAATTGTAGTAGACAAACTGGTCATCTAGCCTATCTAGCCCAAGAGAGCCACCAAATTCCCCATCATGGGCTTTTTGTTTTGTGTGAGACAGTCTCACTATACAGCCCTGGCTGTCCTGGAACTCACTCTGTAGACCAGGCTGGACTCAAATTCACAGAGATCCTCCTGCCTCTGCCTCCCAAGTACTAGGATTAAAGGTGTAAATCTCACCATACCTGGCATGTCTGCCATTTTTCTTTTAATTTTACTTTATTTTATGTATATGGGTGTTTTGCCTACATGTATGCCTACGTACCACATGGGTACAGTGTTCACAGAGGCCAGAGAGGGCATTGGATTCCCTGGAACTGGAGTTACAGGGATGAGCACCCATGCAGATGGTAGGAACTGAACCCTGGTCCTATGCAAGAACAGCCAGTGCTTTTTTGTTTGTTTTGGTTTTAGTTTTTTGAGACAGGGTTTCTCTGGGTAGCTCTGGCTGTCCTGAAACTCGCTCTGTAGAGCAGGCTGGCCTGCAACTCAGAGGTCTGCCTGCCTCTGCCTACCCAGTGCTGAGGTTAAAGGTGTGTGCCACCACTGCCGAGCTGCAGCCAGTACCTTAACTGCTGAGCCATCTCTCCAGGCCCTGGCTTTCTTATGGGATGAAGTATTCAGTCAGGATGCAAGTCTTCATGTAAAGAGTCACCGTTCTGTCCTCAGAGCCAAGGAGACGCCCGTGGACAGCATGGAGGCTGCGCCCTCCCAGCTGAGCAGCTGACCCAGTGCACATGGAAAGTCTTCAGCAAGTCCCAGTGCTGATTGACATTTTGATTCTATCCTCTTCAATGGCAAGAAGGCTACACCCATAAATACTTAGTGCAAAACAGCACAAACACACACACCGTGTAGACTGAGCCCTGCACATAGAATTATGTTCTAGGGGTAAAAAAGCACCTTGATGCTGTGGAGGAGAACTGAAGTGTGTTTGGGGGTGTTTTGAGTGGGAGAGAAGGGAAAGGACAGTCATGTCAGGGTGTGGCTCTGGGAATGGAGAGGGCAGTGACCTCACCTTTCGGTCCAGGTTTAGTGGCTTCCCCACGAGTGGCAGGGTGATGAGTTTCTTGATGCCCTGACTCCATGCTCCAGAGAAGAATTCAGCTAGCACAGCATGTCTCTTGGATCTCTCCGGCCCAGACAGGTATCGAACCTGGATCACCTTGGACAGCTGTCTGTGGAGAAAGGGCACAGGCTGATGACCCTGGGGATAGTACAAGTGTGGAGGCTGTTTGTCCACTCCATGTCCTGTTGTCATTTAATGCTGAGCTCTGCAATGGCTCTTCTTTTTTATTTCTCTTTCTCTCTTAAAAGGTTTTGCTGTTGTGGGGGGCATGAAATGGTTCAGTAGATAGAGGTGCTTGCTGCTCAGCCTCATGATCTGAGTTTGATCCCTGCCACTTCCATCACAGAAGGCAAAACCTGACTCCTACGAGTTGTCCTCTGACTTCCACACACATGCCATACACGAGTACAGAAATAATAAATAATTTTAAAAAGAGCCTTTGACCTGGTGTGGTAGGTGGTGCAAGATGGCCATTGTGGTTGCTCAGAAGCAGGAGGACCACAAGCTGAAGTCGTGTGTGGCTGAATTGGGATCTCAAGGCCAGACTGGGCAACTTAACAAGAAAAAGCGAAAAGAGGCAGAGAAGATGGCTTAGTGGATAAAGTTTACTGCACAAGCATGAGGATCTGAGTTCAAATCCCCAGCACACATGGGAAAGCCTTTTGAGATGGGAAGCACCTGCAATCCCAGTGCTAGAGAGGGGACAGAAACAATAGGAGTCTAGAAGGCCTGTTGTACCACCAATGTATCTGAATTATGGATCTTCAAGTTCAGCGAGACTCGACCTCCAAATACAAGATGAGGAGTGACAGAGGTCAAACCTAAGGTCAACCTTTGTCCTTCATAAATGCACACATAAATGAGGGTACCACAGACAAATGCATCTCTCTCTCTTACACACACATACACACACACACACACACACACACACACAGAGTGAAAAGAAGGCTGGGGGCGTGGCTCAGGGGAGGAGCCCCTGCCTAGAATCCCCCAGTGAGGGGCTGGGGCCTGTGTCTCAGGGATGGAGTTCCTGCCTAGAACCCCATAGCACCACACACAACACTCAAACACACAGAGAGAACAGACAGATTAGGTGTGCAGAGTTCACACTGGTACTGGTTTGCGCTAGACTGCCTGAATACCCCCGGTAAGGAAGTCAAGGATTTGGCTGGGAGCCTTTGCTCTCAGGGTCCCTTCTCAGGGCCTACCTGTGCGCGATGGCCAGCAGTGTGCAGCCATCCACAGCCCTCCTAGTCAAGCAATGTGCCAGGTCCCGGCGGAGCCGCACCCACAGTAGGGGCGGGAAGCGCAGGAGCTCCTTGCTGGGCGGTGTCCAGTCCCTGTACACAGCCTGCAGGACCTCGTCATCCAAAGACAACACATCCTTCAGCTCTGCCTCCGACAGACCATACCTGGGGGCGAGGGGCACCGCACACTGTGACTGCCCTTCAAGGAGGATGTGCAGGACCTCCTCGAAGCTGCCTCCCTTTCACACACATCTGCAGAGCTGTGCACAGGCCACTCTCCAGGCTCAGGGAGTCTCAGTCAGGTATGGTGACACACCTCTGTCATCCCAGCACTGGGCAAGTGGAGGCAGGAGGATTTTGAGCTACATAATGAGTTCCAGGATAGCCTGGGATAAAAAAAAAAAATCCTTTTGTTTGCTTTTCTCTATGGCTTTGGAGCCTGTCCTGGAACTGGTGTTGTAGACCAGGATGACCTGGAACCCACAGAGATCCTCGGGCCTCTGCCTCCATAGTGCTGGGATTAAAGGAGTTCACCACCACCACCTGGCTCATAATCTTCTGTAATTAGATCTGCTGCCCTCTTCTGGAGTGCAGGCAGAACACTATACATAATAAATAAATCTTTTAAAAAAAAAACAACTCTTCTTTCTTTGCAAACTGTTGTGTGGTGGCTCACGCCTTTAATCCCGCAGGTGGATCTTGGGGAGTTCCAAGCCAACTGGAACATCAGCATTGTACAAGTGCCAACTGAATAAGAAATAAGACAAGTGTGCCACTCTGTGCCAACAGAGACTTTGAGGTCTGAGCCAGAGCAATGTAAGATGGGCACTACTGTGTATATAAAAGACCTTAAGACAGGGTGCTCCTGGAGCTGACGAACACTTTCAGCAAAGCAGCAACCTACAAAATCAACACACAGGGCTGGGTGGAAGCTCAGCCTGCAGTATGTGCCTGACCTCCACAAAGCCTGGTTCTGTCCAAATCCCTGCAGAAAAGGCTCGGTGGAAAGAGCCTTAGGACCTTAATGCGACCCTGTAGCATCCATGCAAAAGGCTGGGTGTGGCTGTGTGGGTGTGGCCATAACCCCAGCTGGGCTCCCTGGATCCAAGGTCAGTGAGAGACCCTGTGTCAAGGGAATAATTCTAAGATTGAAAGAGCAGGACACCTCATCTTCCAATGGCTCTACATGTTCACACCACACATGCACCCAACCAACAAAAAAGGAGAGAGGGAGGGAAGAAAGAAAGGAAGGAGGGAAGAAGGAATTGGAGGGAGGAAGGGAGGGAAGGAGGGAGGGAGGGAGGCAGGCAGACTTACCGGGAAGACACAATGTAACCCAGCACATGGGCAACCAGCAGCTGCCCGTGTGTGTTCTCCAGGCGGATGCAGAGCTGGTGTGTGGCCTCCTCAGCTGTGGCAGCCAAGGGCACTGGCACAGTGAAGGAGGCCCACTTCCGGGCCTCCTCAAAGGCCAGCCTTAGCCGCCCTGGGTGGCCACACTCCGGGAGGCTGGCCCAGAGGATGTCCCTCTGAGCTGGGCTCAGTGTTCTCCTTTCCGCAGCCAATAGCAGTTGGATAAGCTCCTGTCCCTGACACCCAGACAGGGCCTTCACCTCCCAGTAGGCACTGGGGTCCTTGAGAGTCTGTTGCAGTGTGTATAACACCTGCTGGCCTGAGCATGTAGAAAGGATGACATGTACTTTTGGGGGACACTTGAGGGGCAGCCAAGAGACCCTCCGAGAATGGCATATGGAATCCAGATCGTCCGCCGAGTCCAGGAGCAGCACCAAGGACTCAAAGTTCCTACAGGACACAGTGTGCAGGAGCCTGTGGAAGAAATGGCCCACCCTGCCATGGACCTCCAGGACCTGGGGTGGGGGCAGTGGCAGCCCGTAGGCCAAGCACAGCTGAAAGGACAAGCTTCTGAGGAGGCTTCGGGCATCCAGGCTCATCTTTGATGTCCCCAACAGCCTCAGGACAGCCACAGTCTTGTGGCCAAGAAGCTCTGGTACCTGCTCGGCTAGTTTGCACATGAGGGAAGTCTTCCCTATGCCCGGTGGTCCAAAGAGAACCAATGGAGTATGGGACCGGCTGTCATCCTGTCTGAGCCGCTGCCCCAGCTGGGCCAGGAGCTCCTGGTGGCCACAGAAGATCCTGGTGGACTCTGTACTCCGCCAGAGATGGTGGCGGATCTCCTGGTAGAGCCAGCCCAGCTCCTGTCTGGCCGACTCCAGCTCTCGCAGTTGCTCCAGGACCTGATGGTTGGTCCTGGCCACAAACTGCTCGCTCAGCTCCTTCAGGTAGCGGGCGTGAGCCTTGTTCTTGGGATTGACTAGGTCACGGCTCCAGGGCAGGCGGTGGGACTTTAGGGCACCAGGCTGAGCATCCAGTATGCGTCCCTTAAGGCCACTGAGAAGACTCTGGGAGTTGGTGTCCAGGCAGCCATCTGCCAGACGATCCACCATCTTCAGAGAGCAGTCATCCAAGATGTGTTTACTGAGGTCCTGTACGTCTCTCAGGAAGACGGTGGCTCCCTGGGCCCCTGCTGCTGAGCTTAGGAGACCCCGCTCGATCTCCCACTCAATGACTGCAAAACAGAGAACAAGAGGGATCATCAGGGTCTCCAAGGCCTGTGAGGGGCTTCAGGGTGACAGGTTTCAGAGGGACACGGGCTGTCAAGGTGAACCAATGGGACAGTCGCTTGGGGCAGCTTGCAGAAGCTCACATGGGATACACACTTGTGTGTGTGTGTGGGGGGGGTGGTGGTGGAGGGTATTTACATACAATGCCTGCAGAGACCAGAGACCAACCTCTCCGGTGTCATGCCAGGATCTCAATGGTCAGGCAGCCTATCTGAAACTTCGAGCTTTGGGTTCAAGGAGAGGCTGTATCTCAAAGGAATGCGGTGCACAGTGACAAAGTACAATGCTGATGGCCTGCTCTGGATTCCACTTGAGTGCACCCGCAAAGTCATGTATGTACACATCACACACACAACACAAAACTCCACAGTTGGGCAGGGTGGGGTACGCTTGCAACCCCAGCCCTCTGGAGGCTGAGGTGAGGATCGCTAAAACAATGACTGTAAGACAATGACTTCAGCTGGGCGTTGGTGACACATGCCTTTAATCCCAGCACTCAGGAGGCAGAGGCAGGCGGATCTCTGTGAGTTCGAGGCCAGCCTGGTCTCCAGAGCAAGTGCCAGGATAGGCTCCAAAGCTACACAGAGAAACCAAAAAACACACACAAAAAAAAAGAAAGAAAAAAGACAATGACTTCTTTTTTACGTGTATTCATTTAGTAAGTTACTTGGGGTGGGGGTGCATTTTGGGGTGTGTGTGTGCACCACCCAGCATGTGTGGAGGTCGGAGGACAACTGGTGGGAGTCAGTTCTCTCCTTCTACCATGTGGTTCATCGGGATTGAGCTCAGGTCATCAGGCTTGGTGACAGGAACCTTTCCCTGCAAAGCCAACTTGCTGACTCAGCAAACAAAGTTTTAACCCAGCCTGGATTACACAAGGAGACTCTGCCTCAAAAGAAAAAAAAAAAAAAAAAAAAAAAAAAAAAAAAAAAAAGATTAAAAGCAGAGGGCGTGTGATTCCAGTGATAAGAAATGTCCAGGCCAAGTGGTGGTAGGGGGGTGGGGGAGGCAGAGGCAGGTGGATCTCTGTTAGTTTGAGGCCAGTCTGGTTTACAAACCAAATTCCAGGACAGCCAAGGGTGCACAGAAAAACCCTGTCTCAAAAAACTGAAGGAAAGAAAGAAAGAAATGTCCAGAACAGGCGTGTGCATAGATAGCAAGCAGATGAAAGACCTTCTGCAGCCCAGCCAGGGGAATAGCCTCTTACTAAGGTGATAGAATGTTCTGGAACTAGACTGAGGTGGCAGTACACAGCATGGTGAGTATTAAACTGTTCGATTTACAAATGGGAATTTCACCTCTGTGACTGTCACCTCCCTGTGTCTGTTTGGAGTGTCCCCCTCGAACAGTCAATCAACAAACAGCTCCTGCATGTGTCATCCAGCCTCTGTGGTCCACAAGGGGACTTGGCATCGAGGGTCACCTCTGGAAACAGTGATGAGTGAATGAGACTGTCCTCCCAGATATAAGTGATGGGAGAAGGTGGCTGCGAAGGCAGAGAGGAAGGAGTGAGGATTATTACAGAGTTCTGAGTATTAACTAGCCAGCTGGGTAAAGGCCTCAGCTGCTGCCTGGAACAACCTTGGCATCTCACCCATAAAGGGCCAACGAAGGTAGATCTGCCACAATCAGACAGTTCTGACACCATAGCAAGAATGCAACAAATGACACCCAAATGGATGTGCCTGACTATGTCAGTGAAACTTTATTTCAAACACAAGCTGTGGGCCAGGCTTGGCACCATTACCACAGCTGACTGATCTCTGTCCCAGGAAGTGTTGTAGCCACCGGAGGACTCTTGTCTTTTTAAAGATTTATCTCTGTGTGGCCTCAGCTGTCCTGAGACTAGACTGGCTTCGAACTCACAGAGATCTGCCTGCCTCTGCCTCCTGAGTGCTTCGATTAAAAGTGTATGCAGGCATCGCCCGGCTTGTCTTTATTTTTTAATTATGTGCACATGTGTGTGGGGTTTGTGCCTGTGATGATGAACGGGGTCTGGTGGCAGGAAAAAACTGAACTTGGGTCCTCCGGAAGAGCAGCCAAAGCTCCAAGGCTGAGCCATCTCCCCAGCAGTGGCCCCTGGACTCTCATTTCTAGAACTCACACTGACTTGTCTCAGGAGGCTTTTGTTTTTTAGCAGTAGCCAGAGTTATTTTTGAAGCCTCTCCAGGCTCAGTGGAGGCTCCCAGCTCTCCACAGATGAGAGAGTCAGGCCCTCCGAGACACTGCATTCCAGTCAAGGACAAGAATCACCCAAAGTCCTCTCCAAAGCAGGCATGGAGGCACAGGCCTGTTACCTCAGCTGAAGCAGGAGGATCACAGGTTCAAGGCCAGCCTGGGCTACTAAGACTCTGCCTCAAAATGAAAGAATAAGAAAAGCTGGTACGGAAGGACCTGGTGCCATCTGAATTCTTGTTAATTGAACTGAACCAGTGTCTTGGTGCATGTACAGTAAAACTACATAAATTCCTGGGCTTGCCTAGCGTTCAGGAAGCCTTAGGATTCACCCCAGCACCACATATGCCCGGTGTGGTGATGCACATCCGCACTCTCAATACTCTGGAGGCAGAGACCACAGGATCAGGAGTTCAAGGTCATCTTTGGTTATGTACCAGGTCCAAGGCTGGCCTGGGCTACATGAGATTATATCCAAAAACCAACAAATGAATAATTCCCCCCAAGAGGCTGGGACAATGGCTCAGTTTGCCATCTATTCATGAGGATCACAGTTCATGTCCTCAGTGCTCAGATAAAGGCTTGGTAGGGTGACAACTGACTATAACCTGGCACACTGGAAATGGAGACAGGAATCTGGGAAGAAGCTGGCTACCTACATTAGCTTAATCTATGAGATCGGGGTTCAGTGAGAGACTACCTCAGTGTACAATCAATGGGGAGACACCTGACAAACTCAGGCCACACACCCAAGTGCACCTGCGAACACCTGAGCATGCGTGTGCAAGCGTGTGTGCACCACACACACAGAGGCATGCACACACACCTGTGCACATATACACACACACAGCACTCTAGGATTAGCGTGTAAAGGCCCTTGCCACCGAGCTTGATAACCAGTTTGACCCCTGCAAATTGTCCTCTGACCTCCACACATCTCCGCTGCTGACAACCACTCCCCAGCCAATAAATAAGTGCATATAAAAATAAATATAGCCTGGCGGTGGTGGCGCACATCTTTAATCCCAACACTCACGAGGCAGAGGCAGGCGGATCTTTGTGAGTTCAAGGTCAGCCTGGTCTACAGAGTGAGTTCCAGGATAGGCTCCAAAGCAATACAGAGAAACCTTGTCTTGAAAAAACAAACAAAAATAAACAAATAAAATAAATGCATTCTTGAACACCCTCAGTTGCAGGCAAACTTAGGATGGTGGTCACTATGGGAGACAGGAGGGCAGAGCTAAGGAAGAGGAAGTGGGTCCTATCGGCTGACACAGGTTTGGCTAGGGCGGTACAATCTCCAGGGAGCCAAGCGAGTTTGACATTGACTGAGATGAAACACTTGTATTTTAGGTCCTGGGAGATGTGTGTTGTCTTGGATTTCCTGTGTCACATGAAGCCCTGGGGGTTCCCTGAAGCTCACCTGACCGATGGTAACACTTCCATTGCTCCTGGTTGATGAGGCCCAGCCTCCAGGCTTCCTGGGCTCCACCTTGAAGGACAGAGGTCAAAGTGGCTTCCTCAGGCTCTGGGGCCCCCACAGAGCCTGGAGGCTGCAGCAAGTAGGTGGGAGGGATGGCATTGTCATCTCTCCGGAAATGTCTGGCCACCAGCTCCAGATCTTGAGGTCTGGAGGTCAGCTGGGCCCTTAGTGCCTTCCACTCTTTCTCTTCGATGCGCTGGGGAACCAGGCAGGGGCCATACTGGTCGCCCAGGAGAGCCTGGCAGGGAGACATACGGGACATGGGTTCAAATCCCACTTGATACTGAACTCTGGGGCCGTGAAGGGAGCACACTGAGTGAGGCCTTGAATGCCAACCTGGTGGTGGCATCATGGTGACGATTATACAAAGTATGGTCAGAAGCTGGCTGTGGGGGCACAGGGTGATGCCAGTACTCAGAGAGGGGGCTGAGGCAAGAGGAGTGGGGGTTCCAGGCCAGCAGAGACAGCAAAGGAAGGCTGTCTCAGAAGAATGGAGAGCTCAGCAACACTACCAGATGGAGGAGGAGGAGCCAGGAGGGGAGGAGATGGAAAAAGAAGAGTACACAGGAGGAGAGGCAGAAGGGAAAACACTCAGAAGTAGTCATTGAGGCAGGCCTGTGTGTATGTGTACCTGTACATACAAGTGTATATATGCCTGCGTGGGCACATGTGAAGGAAACAAGTAAGTTTCTATAGTTTTGAGTCAGGGCTCCAATATTGCCCAGGCCACACGTATGTCCAGGAATCAGTGGTGATAGATAGTCAGGCAGTTCCTCCAGGGTCCCTGAAGTCCCCCAAGGAACAAGGTCCAGCCTGCCTCAGAGGGAGGTTTGAGGCTGAAACCACAGAGCAAGAGAGGTGCTAGGAGCAGCTGGAGCCCCAAGAGGCACAGCGTCTAAAGGAGGAGCATGGGAACCTATCACTGCTAATGAGTTATTTACCATGGAGCCTTCTCTCCAGGGTACCAGTGTGGGTCTGATTTCGTGGAAAGTCCTCCTAACAAGGGTGACAGTGACAGGCAGGTTCCAGGGACAATGTGGGCAATTCGGGGGTGGGGGTCAGTAGAACTCAGCTGAGGGGTGGCAGGTCTAGAAGGGCTGGTGGCCTGGATGTGGCAGCAGCCTGGGGATTCTCCTTCCCCACGCGGCTGGAGCCATCTTGTGCTTTTCCAGCCTGCAGTGTGGGCTGAGAGTCAGTCCCCTGTGGCATCTCCTAGTCCTCTCTCTCTGAAAATTTTAATTTGTGGGTGGTTTGCTTAGTTTTGTGCTTGAGGATATTTTCTCCTTACTGTTAAAAAACATTTTTCAGGGCTGGTAAGATGGCTCAGTGGGGCCGGACGTTGGTGGCACACGCCTTTAATCCCAGCACTCGGGAGGCAGAGGCAGGTGGATCTCTGTGAGTTCAAGGTCAGCCTGGTCTCCAGAGCGAGTGCCAGGACAGACTCCAAAACAACACAGAGAAACCCTGTCTCGAAAAAAAAAAAAAAAAGATGGCTTAGTGGGTAAAGGCATTTGCCAAGGAGTCGGACAGCCTGAGTGCAATCACTAGAACTCAGACAGTGTGGGAGGGGGAGGGAAGGCCTGCAGGCTGCCCTCTGACTGTGCTCCACCCCATAAATAAATAAATAGATAGATAGATAGATAGATAGATAGATAGATAGATAGATAGATAGATATCCAGAGCTACACGGGCTGGTGGCACAGGCCTGCCATCCCCACACTGGAGGGATGAGTTAATGATTAGCTTCAGGGGCTGGAGAGATGGCTCAGCGGTTAAGAGCACTGACTGCTCTTCCAGAGGACCTGGGTTCAATTCCCAGCAACCACATGGCTGCCTACAACTGTCTGTAATTCCAGTTCCAGGGGACCCAACATCTATGGCAAAGCACCAATGCACATAAAATAAAAATAAGTTAAAAAATTATTAGCTTCAGCTTCACAGTGAGTTTGAGGCCACCCTGAGCTACCTGAGACCCCTTCTTAAATGGGAAAACCAAAGCCAGGTCTCCCTTGTAAACTCACCATGATTGTTAGGGCTTTGGGAAGTTAAACCTAGGAGCATGAAAAATAACTGAGAAGGGGAGTTATAAGCAAGAGGGCATGTTTTATCAAGTGGGTGTCTATGTGTGTGTGTGTGTGTGTGTGTATGAGCATACATATGTGGTCTGTGCACATGGAGGCCAAAGGTGCACACAGTATGACTTCTAGTCTTCGCTCTAATTTATTAATTTTTTAAAGTTTATTTACAGGTGTGGGTGTGTGCTATTGTTGATGCAGTGCCCACAGAGTCCAGAAGAGGGTATCAGATCCCCTGGAGCTAGAGTTACTGGTGTGTAAGGGGCCGTTTCCTGCATTCTCCATTATAATAATGGTGCCTAAAGACACCAAGATGTAAATTACTTCACAGGCGCTGGGTAATCTCCATTCCTTTGATCTCTGCCTATCCAATGGCTCATTTGGCCTGAGGAGCTGAAGCCATTTATAGGGTAACACGTCCCAGGCGGCTGGCCAGCCTTTATAAGGGATGGTTTTCTTGGTTCAATGTCTCCGCTCTGGTAAGCTTATGCATTAAAGCTTGTCTGCAGAAGGATCCGAGTGTCCTGCGTGTATTTCTTGCCGGCCGAGAAAATACAGCGCGCGGGACACTGGTGTTTGTGAGCTCCCTAGTGTGGGTGCTGGGTCCTCTTTGATTAGAGCAGGCATGTGTCACTGCTTAGCCATCTCTCCAGCCCACACTTTATCTTTTGAGACAGTTTCTCCAGGAACCTGAGCTCATCGATTGCCTAGAGCTCACTGACCGCTCAGTGAGTTCCAGAGTTCCATCTGTCTTTGCCCCCAGGTGCTCAGGATTTGAACTCGGGTCCTCGTGCTTGCCTACCAGACACTTTACACACTGAGCCTTCTCCCCAGCCTGAGAAAATAGTTTAAAGCAATAATAATTAAAACATACTGGTAGTTGAGTACAAAAAGAAGGACAAGACACAGTCTGAAGACACCAGAGGCACTGTAGTTAAAAGTGAACACATAACTAGGCATGGTGGCTCATGCCTTTAATCCCAGCACTCGGGAGGCAGAGGCAGGTGGATCTCTGTGAGTTCGAGGCCAGTCTGGTCTCCAGAGCGAGTGCCAGGATAGGCTCCAAAGCTACACAGAGAAACCCTGTCTCAAAAAAAAAAAAAAAAACCAAAGCAACAAAAAGTTAATGCATCTGCAGACACGCCTCAGCCCTTGGCCAGTTCCAAGGTTTGTTTCTTTTCTTTCCTTTCCTCTTTCTTTCTTTCTTTCGTTTTTTTTCTTTTTTTCTTTTTTTTGAGATGAGGGTCTCCAACTCATGGACACCAAAGGGAACATCTCTATCAACATCCTCCAAAAGGCTCAGGAGCTCACAGAAGAGGGGGCGCAAGACTGCTGCGAACATGACACAGCTGTGGAACCATGGACTCACAGCAGCTACAAGCACACATACATGATCAATACATGATCAACACAGCTAAAACCCAGTGTGTGGGGGGTCCTGAGCCCCCCATCTGAGGACCTATTGGCAGTTGATGACTGCTGGGGGAGGGAAAATCACTTTGTTTCAAGGGTGGGGCCTCTGGCAGGCTTCTCTGGCCCCAGATGGTCTCGTACCTTATACATTCACAATTAGTACCACATTAGGTGGTACTAATTGAACTCATTGGGTTATTTTTTAAAAAGACACAAAGGTAGAAGGAGGGTGTTTGGGAGGTGTAGGGGGGTAGGCAGAGCAAGTTGGGCATGGATTTGATCAAGATGAAGTGTATGGAGGTAAGAAATTGTCAAAGAAGACATTTTTTAAAAAATATTCCTTAAGAAAACACTCCTGGGTTGAAGCAATTCTCCTGCCTCAGCCTCCCAAGTAGTTGCCATGACAGGTGTATGCCTGCACCTCCAGTTTCTTCTGTTTTGTTTTCTTAGGGAGACTTAATCTCTAGGCAACACTAGCCTGTAGAACATTCTAGAAATCTGGGTAAATGCTAATCCATGCTTTGTGAACATTGCTGCACAGGGTCTGTAGCTCTTAATGTGGACAGTGAGGGTTTTTGTTCATGTGTGAGCCTGTGAGTATGTGCAATGAGTATGTGCCCTCAGAGGCCAGAGAGGGCATCAGACCCTGACAGTTGTGAGCCACCTGAGTGCTGGGTGCTGGGATCTGAACTGGGGTTCTGCAGGAGCAGCACAGGCTTGTAACTGCTGGATGTGAGGGCGGTTTTGTTTCAAAACAGGGTCTCTCTATGTGTTGCTGGCTGTCCAGAACTCCCTCTGCAGACCAGACTGGCCTCAAACTCAGAGATCCACCTGCCTTTGCCTCCGGAGTGCTGGGTATTCCCAGCTTAGGTTTTTTGTTTTGCTTTTAATTTTCACTTTTTGAGAAACTGTCTGGAGCTTGGTAGACAAGAGTGACCTTGAATTCCTGATCCTCCTGCTCCCACCTCCTGGAAGACCAGTCTGCTCTGTCAACCAGAGAGGGGATTATTTTGGTGACAGAGGAGGTAGGTAGGTGCATTACAGAGCAACAGAAACATGGGGATGGAGGGAGAGAAAGAGTGTGGATTTCTACTTTCTCTCTTGTTTTCCAGAATCCCAAACTTTCCAAATATAAAGTGGGCCAGGTGGGAAGGGTGGAGGGAGTTTCAGAACGGCCTGGAAGATTCCCTCCAAGTCAGTGTTATACTTTCCCGCTCACCTACTGCCGTGTTCCTAATGCCTGGCTTCTGAGGAACACATGAGTACTGTTAGTGATTAGTTATGTCTGTCATGACTGGTTCACGGGGACTGGGATGTTAGCTAAAATGCCACCCACTTCTCTCTTGTGTTTGGGTAGCTACCAGGGACCACGTTCCTGTGATGGAAAACGAAATAAAGGCAACGCCACCTGCCCTGACACACTCACCACAAAAGCTGGTCCTATGGACGTTTTCTGGCAGCGGTCAAGTTCTTCTAAGCAGAGTTCTATGGTCAAGTGGTCAGTGGCTTGTGTGTTCGGGACACCCCACCTCAGATCAACCACCTGGGAATAGAAGGGTGAGGCTTCTGATGACTGATTTGTTCTACGGTTTCATTCAACTGAAGAAGTTTCTCTTCTAGGGAGATTCTAGATTAGGCAAACCGGAGGCTAGGGATGTAGAATGCTTGCCTAGAAAGCCCCAGTGAGGGGCTGAGGGCGTGGTGTGTGGCAGATGGTTTACATAATGCTCAGGATTGATCCCTAGATTCCATTCTGCAACAGAATGAAAGTCAAAAGTGTTTATCCCTAGAGCACAAATGGACTTTGGGAGCCAGTTCCCTATGGAGGGATACTCTCTCAGCCCAGATACCTGAAAGAGGGCCTAGGCCCTCCCCAAAATGATGTGACAGACTTTGATGATCCCCCTTGGAAGGCCTCCCTATCCTTGGGGAATGGGTGGAGGTGGATTGGGGGCTGTCTGTGGGGAAGCATGGGAGGGCAAGGGAATGGGGGGATTGATATGTAAAATAGATTGCTTCTAAAATTAAAAAAAAAGTGTCACTCCTTTAGTCCCAGCACTCTGGAGGCAGAGGCAGGCAGATCTTTGTGAGTTCAAGGCCAGCCTGGTCTACAGATTAAGTTCTAGGACAGCCAGGGCTACACAGAGAAACCCCATTTTGCTGGAGAGATGGCTCAGAGGTTAAAAGCACTAGCTGCTCTTCCAGAGGACACAGGTTCAATTCCCAGCACTCACATGGCAGCTCACACCAGTCTGAGACTCAAATTCTAGTGGATCTGACACCTTCATACTGACATATGCACAGGCAAAACACCAATGCACGTTTAAAAAAAAAGAAAAAGAAAAAAGTGAGTCATCAGTGTAATTACAAGAAAAGGAAAAGGTAAACTGGGCGTTGGTGGCGCACGCCTTTAATCCCAGCACTCGGGAGGCAGAGGCAGGTGGATCTCTGTGAGTTCGAGACCAGCCTGGTCTACAAGAGCTAGTTCCAGGACAGCCTCCAAAGCCACAGAGAAACCCTGTCTCGAAAAACCAAAAAAAAAAAAAAAAAAAAAAAGGAAAAGGTAGATCCACCTAAGGGGATGTCTTTGTCCCTCTCTCAGAAGGTCACGGTCATGAACTGCAAGAAAAGTCCCTTGGGCTCCTGATGCTTAAGCAGGAGGGAGGATTTTGAGGTCAAAGTGTAACACAAAACATAAAAGACCCAGAGACAAATATTGGGGTTCAAGCTTCAAACTGAAGATCAGAGAAACAAAGCAGCCAGGCCAGTCGATCTTACCTCTACCCAGCTGAAACGGCAATCCTGTCTCCACCACTCCTCAGAGGCAAAAGGCTCTCAGTTCCTGTCTCCCCATTATATTCATTTCTCTACTCAGCCATATCCTCCTGTCTTCACCTCCCTCGTGCTGGGATTAAAGGCGTGTGATCCCAGGTGCTGAGATCACCTTTGTGTGAGCTGTTTCTTTTAGGACTGGATCAGTTTTGTGTAGTCAGTGTGGCCGTCTACCTCTTAATCCTAAATCCTGGGATTAGGACAGCTTGAGGCTGGCTTTGCTTTCTGAATCCTCAGACAAGCTTTTTTTTTTTTTTTTTTTTTTTTTTTTGGCGTTTTGAAACAGGGTTTCTCTTGGGTTGTTTTGGAGCCTACCCTGACACTCGCTCTGGAGACCGGGCTGGCCTTGAACTCACAGAGATCCACCTGCCTCTGCCTCCCGAATGCTGTGATTAAAGGCATGCACCACCAATGCCTGGCTCAGGCAAGCTTTAATAAATAATGAATAATATATCACCACATCAAGGCTTGTTTGAGCTGTAGCTCCCTGTCTCAAGGGAGAAGGAAAGAGAAAAGAAAAGAAAGGTTTACTTAAAAACAAGTTTGTGGGACTGGAGGGTTAGCCTGGTGGTTGTGAGCACTTGCTGCTCCCCCAGAGATCTGAGTTCACTTCCCAGAACTGCACTGGGTATCTCACAACAGCCTGGAACTCCAGCTCTGAGAATCCAAAGCCCTCTCTGGTCTCCCAGACACCTGCACACACTTGCACACACACACATAAGTAAATCTTAAAAAACAAAAACAGGTGTGGTAGGGCAGAGGCCGAGCCTCAGTTGGCAGAGTGCTTGCCTAGCTACACAAAGCCCTGGGTTCGATGCTCAGCGCTGTCTAGCAGGTGGGGCTGGGACATGCCTTTTATCCCTACACTTGGAAGCAGGGTATTCGGAGCTCAAGGCCATTGGTAGCTACATATCGAGGTCAATGTCAGCCTGGATTTCACAAGACTCTGTCTGAGCAATTGAAAAATTCGGTAGGAAGCTGGGTGTTTTTCGCCTTGTTCCTTGTTAAAGGAGAGCATGTCCAAGCTGGCTGGGAACAGGCTTTTCCAGGGAGGGTATTGAGACCAGCAGGAAGTGACCCAGCCAATTCTCCTTAGCAACCACATGCATGCCAGGTCCACCTTTGCCACTGGCCAGCAGGGGGCTGGGAGAGGTGGAGGTGGAGGAGGGGACTGGGAGGCTGCAGGGCTGGCCTAGTGAGGCTGGAGTGACAGACAGGAAGACAAAGAGTACAGGGAGCTGACTCCACCTTTGTCAGTTCTGTAGCCCAGAGAGAAAGAAAAGCAAACCCTGAGCAACTACAACAACAGGAACAGGGGCTGGGGGGGGGGGGGGGGGGGAGCGGGCAGCCTCTGGGGGTCCTCCCCCAGGAGCCTGGTGCTTGCCACCACCTGCCTGGGCACCAGCAAGGTTGTTAAAGCGACAGGCACAGGGCTTTCATGAGCCCTCATCATGTAAGGTTCCCTTTCTGTTGCTGTTTTGTTCTGGTGACATATGTGTGTACATGTTCATGTGTGTGTGTGCACACAGGTGTGTGCATGTAGAGCCTCAAGGTCAACCATGTCTGGTGTCTTCCATTACTCCTTGACATCTTGGTTTTTGAGACAGGGTCTTTCAGGCTGGGCTGCATGGCCATGGAGCTCTGGGGCTGTACCTGTACCTCTCCCGGTCACTGCACCCAGCTTCTATGTGGATACTGGAGATCAGAGCTCAGACCTTCATACTTGCAAGGTAAGCCCTGTCCTTTCTCAGGAGTCTATCAAGAATGGAGATGGGCTTTCTGCCTCCTCTGCCACCATGGCACCACAGGAGAGCTTGTGGAGAAGGGGCTAAAAACAAGAGGCTGGCTTTGAAGTTCACCCTTGATTGCACCCTGGAGAAGACAGGAGCCACTGATGCTTCAATTTCAAGCAGTTCCTCCAGGAGAGAATCAAGGAGAACTGAGAAGCTGGAAATGTTGTTGGAGGGGCTCCAGAGCAAGATCATTGTCACTTCTCAGGTATCTGTCCCCAAAGTTATTTGAGGAATGACAGTCTCTGAGACCAATTGCTGAGAGCTGGGTGGTGGTGGCATAGCCTTTAATCCCAGAGGCCGAGGCAGACAGGGCTTGAGGCCAGCCTGGTCCTCAGAGTGAGTTCCAGCAAGAGCTACACAGAGAAACCCTGTCTCAAAAAAAAAAAAAAAAAAAAAGAAAGAAAGAAAAAAAAAGAAAAAAAGAAATAGAAGAGACAGAGAGAGAGCACTATGAGCTGCTTTACTGTAAACTTAAGACACATTGGTCTGGAATGTTTTATGTGAATTCATACAAATTTAGGTACAACAGAAACAAGAATGGGGTGACCTTTAGAAACCCTGATTTGCTTGGTGGTAGTGATTGGGTAATGGCAGATCTCTAAGATGCTTGTCTGTAGCATGAGGCCCTGGGTTACATCCATGAACCCATGCAAAAGCCAGGCTCAGTGATACATTCTGCAATCCTAGAGCTGAGGACCCCAGGGCTAGATGTTAGGCAGCCAGGTTGGCAAGCTCCAGGCCAGTGAAAGATGCTGTCTCTAAAACTTAAATGGATGGTACCCGGGGAATGATACCTAAGTGTGACACCTGGTCTCCACATGTGTGCACACATATTCACACCACACACACATTCACACACTTACATTCACACACACACACACACACACACACACACACACACACACACACACACACACTCACACACACCACACACATTCACACTGATAAGGAGATGTGGAGAGCAATATAGAGTAAGAAAGTAGCCTCTTGTTAAAATATTATGAAGGGCTGGAGACCGCTCAGCAGTTAAGAGCACTGGCTGCTTTCACAGAGGACTCAGGGTCAGGTTCAATTCCCAGCTCCCACACGGCAGCTCACAGCTGTCTGTAACTCCAGTTCCAGGAAATCTGGCGGCCTCTTCTGGCCTCCACAGTTACTGTACACATAAGGCGCATAGACTTACATGCAGACAAACATCCAATTGCATAAAACCATTAAGTAAATCCTGCTTTAAAATGACTGTGACAGCTGGCATGGTAGCATATAGAGGGCATGAGTGGGCACACGTGAGCACTGGAGAAACCAGGAATGTTAATCACACAGGGCTGTCTCCTCAAAGGAGGAAACGAATACCTGTTTCCCACTGAGAAGGCAGGCAGTAGATGCTGTGAATGACCTGGTGACCTTGGTATCTGTAGAGCCAGATCCCAAAATGTTTATCCTAGACTCTCCGTCTCTAGACCTTCATCTTTGTCTCTCAGTCACTATCGCCTACCCTGAGGGGAGATGTCACATGGACTTCATAGCCTGCTTGACCGCTACACTGTCTTGGGCAGGCAGAGATCACAGCAGATTCTGGCCCCTTAGGCTGTAGGGCCCATCTTCATGGTGGAGGTCACATGTATTTTTCAAAGAATTTCAATGTAGTCATGCCTTAAGCTTTATTGTGCACATGGTACTGGGACAATTATCAGCAGGAAACTTTTTTTTCAAAGCTGTACTGTACTTAAATATGCCTAAAATAAACAGCCTGGGGGCAGACTCCAGAAGTCTGATCCAACCCAGCTAAGTCTCGCTGAACTGGGTTTCCTTCTTGTCTCTCTCAGTTTGTTTCTCTGGGGACTGTGGACTGTTTGTAGGGACCCCACAGTGGCACACGCCTTTAATCCCAGCACCCAGGAGACAGAGGTAGATGGACCTCTTGGAGAGGTAGCTCATTTGGTAGTGTTTACAGGTCAGTTGGCAGAGAGCCAGGCTAGCACACATGAATCACAGGGGTCTGTAGGGAGTCACCCTAGCCCCGCCCAATAGTCCTGGGGCAGGTACCAGGTGGACCCGGGGACTCGCCCATAAGGGCGGGGTGAAGGAAAGCCGGGATGACGTAAGGGAGCTTCTTAAGGGGCTGCACGTGGGGACGCGGGCCCCCTTTTTGTTCTGGCCGCGCTGGCTGGGTTCTTAACCTAGCTCTGGCCTGTGTTTCACCCGGCTGTGCTCTGAACTAAAGAGACCTTAATCCAATAGGGGTCCATCTACATCACTGCATAAATGGCTTGGTGGCTCACTCCTGTCACCCCATTGCCTGGGAAGTGAAGGTAGGTGAATTATTAATTCAGGGTCATCCTCAGCTACATAGTGAGTCCAGCCTGGGCTAAATGAGACCTCATCTCAAAAGACAAAACAAAAAACATTTTGAGTTTTGAGACCCAAAGCTAAAGCACCTAACGGATGATAAGAGGTGGTGTGTGACTTACCTCAAATGTCAAGCCATGCTTCTGGCAGAAGCTCTGCACCTCGGGATAGGCAGTACACTGCAGAACTTCTCGCTCTGCGTCCATATCTGCAAGGCACAACCAGGAGCATGTTAGAGAGAAGATTCCAGAAGCCTGCCTCACCCGTACTGAGCTCTGTGTCTCATCAAACCCCTGCAAGGTTGGGTCATCCTAAATATCAAAAAATATGGAAGAAGAGGAGGAGGAGGAAGAGAGGAGGGGGAGGAGGAGGGGGGAGAAGGAGGAAGAGGGGAGGAGGAGGAGGGGGTGTGTGGAAGAAGCAGAAAAATGAGGCCAGCAAGATGGCTCAGCAGTAAAAGAACAAGACAGAAAGAAGAAACTGTTCTGTCCTCTGACCTCCACACACCTGTGCTGTCCTGGTGCACATGTAACTTTCTCCCCAGGAAGACCACACACACAAAATTATTGAAATCTAAAGTTATATGGAGTCAAACCAAAGAAACCAACCACCCTGGTTCACCTGGAGTTCCCTGTGTGAGCTCCATAAAAACCACAGCCCAAGACACTCTCAGGGCCAGCCCAGCAGGATGAGCCCAGGCTAAGTTAGAGCAGCCAGATAAAATGTAAGCATGTTGGGCAGGGAACACTTGGCTCATTATATGCTCTCGGACCCAGCAGTCAAGGCCCTGGATTTCACCCCTTGGTCTGCAACAAAACAAGGAACCTGCCAAATGCAGACAGTACTCTCAATGTACAAAGTACTCTCGGCTGATTACAAGCCAGATAAACAAGGAGGTCACATGCAAGTACATGCTGATCCATTCCAGGCTCTGCTTGTAACACACTAAAGGATCATTCCCAGTTCCTCTGAAATGCAGAGTGAACCAGGTGGGTTTGCTGTGCCGACAGAGAACCCAGAGCTTCACTCCTGTTAGGCATGGGCTCCGCCCCTGAGCCACACCCTCAGCCCCTCACTGGAATATTCTAGGCAGGGGCTCCACCTCCTGAGCCACACCCTCAGCCCCTCACTGGAATATTCTAGGCAGGGGCTCCACCTCCTGAGCCACACCCTCAGCCCCTCACTGGAATATTCTAGGCAGGGGCTCCACCTCCTGAGCCACACCCCCAGCCCCTCACTAGGGCATTCTAGTCAGGGGCTCTACCACAACCCAAAAAATAAGTGGTTCCAAATACCGAATCAGATTCTGTCTTGGGAGCGGTCCAGGATGGGACGAGTCTGGGATCTGTCTCCCACACACTTGTCCCTTTCCCAGTCTGTCTTATCAACTTCACAGGCTATTCGGATGTGCCCATAAAATCCTTGTCAGATAATGAATTCAGGCCCAGAGCCTTGCTAACCATTAGGGACACATCAAGAGACACAGTGAAGTCTGAAGTCAGGGGCTTGCACGTAGCTCCACTATCTGAACTTTTCAGGCCCATGAAGAGCTTGGAAAAGCTTGTCTAGCATGTATGGGGACCCCAAGTTCAGTCCCCAGCACTAAGAAGCCAAATATCAAAAAGAATACATGCAATCTATGTGGCACACAATAACAAATATTCAATAGTGTCATCAGTCACTTATCACACAGCCATTACTGAAAAGATAAACAGGGCCATGCAGACACCTTTAATCCCAGCATTCAGGTGGCAGAGGCAGGTGGATCTCAGTGAGTTTGAGGCCAGCCTGATCTACAGAGTGAGTTCCAGGACAGTCAGGACTACACAGAGAAACCCTGTCTTGAAAAAATTATTTTTTTAAAAGGTGAATAAATAAAGATTGAATGGTAGAATGTACTCTACATCGGAAGGAAAAATGATAACACTCAAAGCGCATGTCTTCTCTCAACTTGAGCAAATTTGAAGGTAAGCTTAGCACTTGGAGATGCTTATCCGGACCAAGATGAGAAAATGGACCATTATACATAGGTGTCCTACGGTGTACCATGCCTAGTGACCGTGCTGTGTGCTTGGTGACAGTTCTGTGTGCTCAGTGAATTCTGCCCATAGCATGAAGGTAACTGTTAAAGTAATTGTATCATGGGAATTGGGAGCTAATGCAGATCAGGCATTTTCATGTGTAGTTTTATTTAATGCGAAGAACACGCAGCTGTATGCAGCTGGCACTTGGCCAGAGGGAGAACCAACATAAAGCATGGGGGTTATTGAGATGGCTCATTGTGTGAAGGGACTTGCCATGAAGCCTGAAGACCCAAGTTCAATTCCTGGGCCCCACCTGGTGGGAGGAGAAAACCAACTCCTGAAAGCTGTTCTCTGTGTGTGCATCCCACACATAAACAAATGTGTAAAGATCAGGGAGGGCCCAGGAATGCAGCTCACTATCAGAGTGCTTGCCTAACACAAACTGGGTTTAACCCCCAGAACAGCATGAAAAATGAATACACAAAAAAGAAATCTTTTCTAAAAGAAAAGCTTTTGACATAAAATTATCCACATAATAATGTTTGCAATGACACAGGGAACTGTTTCCTTTATGAATAAAGGTAGTTTGTACAGAAAAAAAAAAAGAAAGAAAAGAAAAGCTTGGGCGGGATGTTAGGGTGTGGCTCCATAGGAGAACATCTGTGGGACAGACGTAAAGCCCCTTGTCTGCACACAAGTTCCCACCCAGCTCTGGTCAAATGTGTGTGAGATGCTGGCTCTTCCTCCAGCAATTACCAAACACACACTAGACACTGTGACCTCTGGTTACAATATCAGGCCACTCGCAGCAACTGTACTCAACTGTTTATATGATGGAGAAACAGGCAGAGGGTCCAGGAGGACCCCGACAGTGGCTCTTATGTGCATCATCAGCCTATGTCTATTCACACACATCCCCTGGAGGAGACCCCATGAAGCATAGCCACCATCGAGAGTGCCCTTACCTGAGATGGCAGAGCTGATGAAGATGGCCACACTGCTGCTGGAAGAGGGTGCTGGGAGGGAGACCGCCTGACCCTGGAGAAGCCGCTGGCGAGTGCCAGGGCTGAGGGGGCCCACACTCATGCTTCCCATACACCTGGATGATTCTTCCCCAGGAAAGGGCCTGCGACCCATGGATCTCATACCAGCAGCTGAGGATCCCTCCTGGGAGTCTGGCCAGGCACGGCCATCAGAAGAGGGGGTGTTATCTCAGGCTCTGTGGCCACTTGGTCACTGTAGCATTCCTTCGGGGATGCCAGGATGCTGTCTCCCACTCTGCTTGTCTGCGAGACTATCAGGATGTGGGGCAGCAGCTTCCCCAGAGTTCCTGGGTGTTGCTGCCTTCTTCAGGCACCAGAGTCATTTTCCAGCTTCTCATGGAAGCTTCAGTGGTTGCCATCGCAACTATGGTTTAAAGCACTGGCGTTGGAGCCCAGGGACCAGACAATCTTTCCAACACCTGGCTCCCCTGGGGCCTCTGTGTAAGTTGAGCCTGAGCCCAGGTGTGCAGAGGGAAGCCAAGGGTTTCTGGGAGCCATGGGGAGCCCTGACATTGGGTAAAGACTCCACTCCACGCCGCCCTATCTGTGCCTCTCATAAGCCAGTGTTCGTGCACCGTGAAAATTATGCCAGATGGTCATCTCACCTGGAGCAGTGTGCCACCCCAGAATGCGTCAATGTCTGCAGAATGTATGGTTGTCAGGAATAGAAGTGTCAAGAACATCAAGTGAACAGAAGGCTGGGGGCGTGGCTCAGGGGTGGAGCCCCTGCCTAGAATCTCCCAGTGAGGGGCTGTGGGCGTGGCTCAGGGATAGAGCCCAGCCTGGAGTCCCCCAGTGACCAATGTGGACGACTCAGATGTTGTCTGGTTTCTAGCCTGCATAAGATCCTAGACCAGCAGTTCTCTCTCTGTGGGTCATGACCCTTTTGAAAAACGCATTTCCAAAAATATTTGCATTCTGATTCATAACAGTAGCAAAATTACAGTTATGAAGTAGCAACAAAAATAATTTTACAGTTGTGGTCACCACATCATGAGGAACTGTATTAAAGGACTTCAGCATTAGGAAGGTTGAGGACCACTGTGCAAGTGGAGATGGGAGCATAGGGAAGGAGAACGGAGACCAGGGCAGGCAAGGAAGGAAATTTCCCTGGCTGACTCTAGCTCTCCCCACCTCCCAGTCTTATCGATCCCAGTGACAGGCACAGATTAAACCTGTGTGTCCTCTCTTGTGCCATGAGCACAGGCTCCTCCATTGTCCTCTTGGAGTGTGGAAGCATCAAGCCTCCTAGCCCAGGCAACCGCCCCATCTTCTGTGAATTGAGAGTAAACCTCTTCAGGACACCTGTTTTTTGAAGTACTCTGTGGGTCTGTGGGTGAATAAATGTCAAGGTAGCCATGATGACAGGAGAACACATGGATTCACAAGGCACCAAACACAGAGTGAGTTCTTCATGGACAGATATGTATAGATAAAGATATGGTCACTATATTATTTTGTATGCTACTTATATGAAATATTAATATGTACTAAAGGAATGGCTTGGTGGTGCACCCCTATGATCCCAGCACTCTGGAGAGTGAGGCAGGAAGGTCATGAGTCTCAGATCAGCCTGTGTCTATAGCAACATCAATTCCCAGCGCCCACATAGTGCCTTACATATGGCACTGGTAATTCCAGCTCCAGGGGCTCTGATGCCCCTTCTGGCTGCTGAGGGCATTGCATACATTGGTGCACAGATACACATGAAGGCAAAACATCCATATACATAAAATGAAATAAATAAATAAATCTTTAAAAAAAAAGCAAAACAAAACAAAAACTACAGGGCTGGCATGATGGATCAGAGGGTAAAGGTGCTTGCATCTAAGTCTGGTGGCTTGAGTTTGGTCCCCGGGACCAATATGGTAGAAGGAGTCCACACACAGGTTGTGACAGGAGCCTACTCACACACACAAAGACTAGATCACACTCCAGCACATGGTCATGCGCCCTTATCACTTCCACGTATTTACAGGAGGCTCCGAACTCTTTGGCCTTGGTCTTCACAGGAAGGCCTGGGGTCTCTTCATGTTCTCTGTCCCTGGCTTGCTCAATTTCTTATGACAGTAAACCTATTCGTCCCCCACTGCCACCGAAGCCCACAAGCCAAAATGTGTCCAGACTCGGTGCCTCCTT